AAGTACCATACCAAATATGGTTGTGGCACCATAAAATGGTTCCTAAAGTCTAACATATACATTTAAATGAGAAATTAAAAAGGCATATTAGTTGAATATTTCTCCAAAAAGCCTAATTTACTTATCTACACCTTGGTTCGTAACATTGTGTTAGTTTTCATTTCAAATGTTCTCAGTTATAGTAAGAAAAACCACGACAAAAAATTAAGTTGTGTTATTTATTTCCTAGGGTTCGTGGCCGGTGTGATTGAAGTGCCTGTGTGATGTGAATGATTAACGCCGGCTGTAGAGAGAAGAAGAAAAATAAATATACTGCAGTTGGAAACGCCTGACTGCCTGATGCAGTATAGAGAATTCTTGTGTGAATGACAAAATCAACGATTTAAGCAAGAGAATTGAAGAAGAAAACGTTGAAAGCAAGTTACATAAATAAATAAATAAATAAATGGTCCAAAAAGGTTTTCAAAGAACAGGTGATGCCAATATAAGTTAAAGAAAAAAAATCACTCTCACTGTAAAGTTTACAAAATGATGGTCATTAGACGTGGAAAGAAGTCATTTCAAAAGCATGAAAATCGTGCGTTATGACCATTGACGAACTTTAATCAGCGAACGACCTTAAAGTAAAGACGAATTTAATAAAACAACTTAAACAGATTTCATTCAGTTTCATTTCTCAAGAATGTTTTTTGTTCACTTTAAGACAAAATCCATTAGTAAATTGAGTAATTTTAATTTTCAGTGGGAAAAAAACCTTTTACCAGAATAATTTCAAGCATATTGCATTCTTTTTTGTACTAAGTTGTATGAAATAACTCCGAAGAAAGGTTCTTATTGGATCCCTCTGAAAATTAAAATTATTCAATTTCTTAATGGATTCCATCTTAACACTTTCAGCTGGTCGCAATAGGCCAGGAGACGAAAGCGGAGGTTTTGACAAATTTATTCAAGAACCGAAGAAATTTTATTTTCCCCATGCTTTCAGTCTAAATATAGTTTTAGAAAGTAACTTCCGAGCGGTGAGCGCTCGAGAATTTCTAGATTTATTGTTATTATTATAAAACTGTATGTTGTCTCAAAGCAGTGTATATAGCCTCATGTAAGGTAAATTGGATTCCGGAATCTGAGAAAGTTTGACTGTGAAATCTGGAATCCTAGGCTTTGAAATCCGGAATCCCGCTGACAATTGAGATGCGGAGTCCAAGTTTCACTAAGATAGAATCGAGAATTCAGTACCTGAAATTCGGAATTTCACAAAATTCTACACTTAGAAAGAGAAAAGGTCAAGAAGGGCTTCGAGAAGTCCGCCAATTTTGAAAAAATCGCAAAAGTAACAAGAATTTTTCCTGCTACGTGAAAAGATTGAGCAACAAATATGGCAAAAATAGCAAGAATAACAATTTCACAAAATTCTACACTTAGAAAGAGAAAAGGTCAAGAAGGGCTTTGAGATGTCCGCAAATTTCGCAAAAATCGCAAAACTAACAAGAATTTTTCTTCCTATGTGGAAAGATTGAGCAACAAATATGGCAAAAATGGCAAGAACAACAAATTTCACAAAATTCTACACTTGGAAACAGAAAAGGTCAAGAAGGGCTTTAGTAAGTCCCCAAATTTCGCAAAAATCGCAAAAGTAACAAGAATTTTTCATGATATGTGAAAAGATTGGGCAACAAATATGGCAAAAATAACAAGAATAACAAATTTCACAAAATTCTACACTTACAAAGAGAAAAGGGCAAGGAGAGCCTCGAAATATGGCAAAATGCCACAAATTGGCTAGAGTAACAAGAATAAGCAAGAATTGTTGACGGGCAAGACTGAAGGAGCCAAGAACACCCGCGCATCACTGTTTTTGTCTATTATTAATGGTTATCTCAACAGGAATGCGTTCTTATCCAGTTTTGTAATGCATTCCATTTTCGCGAAAATGAAATCATCAGTTTACAAACGTGACGCCATTTATAATTACTGACAGTAGCAAAATACTGTAATATCAATCTGTGTATGCTTCCTTCTTCCATCAACATACAGCTACAATGCATAGAAAGGAGTGTGGCTCACAGAAGGGGGCAAATTTTAAGCAATAAAAGGGGGTGGTAGCAGAACTTTTCATGGCTAAGAACCCACCATAACGATCTTTCCAAAATATCAAGAATAGCAGATTGGGGGAAAAGAAAACGGTTCATAAGATCCTCGCATTATACATGAATGTCGCAGTGCAATACCCATAGTTTTTTAAACAGGGATTGCCGAAAGTAACAAGCGATATTTGTCATAGATGTTTTCAGCTAGCAAGAAAAATCCTTGTTACTTGTGCGATATTTCCGGACATTTCGGGACCCTTCTTGGTTTCTCCTTTTTCTACGTCTATATAGAATTTTGTAACATTTGTTATTTTTGCGATTTTTGCGATATTTGTCACGGGAGTTTTTAGTTCGCAAGAAAAATTCTCGTTACTTTTGCGACTTTGGCGATATTTGCGGACATTTCGGGGCTCTTGGCTTCTTCTTTTTCTAAGTCTTGATTCTTGTTAGATTTGTTATTTTTGCGATTTTTGCGATATTTGCGGACATTTCGGGGCCCTTCTTGGCTTCTTCTCTTTCAAAGTCTTGATTCTTGTTGGATTTGTTATTCTTGCGATTTTTGCGAAAAAAAATTTGCTAGCAAATAGATTGGGGACCGAGCATGTTTTTATTCGAATAAAGATGGTATTTTTTCTGTACGCTCTCGTATTTTTGCGATCAGCTACCACCAATAAAACTACTGAGCATATTTAGAGGGAAGAGAGAGGTTATTTAAGGATGAAGGCTTATAGTTCAAAATTCCCGAGAGCCAGCTATTGCTGCGGGTTCTGGATAATCAAACAGTGTGACACGAAGTGCACACAGCGTTGTAGGGCAAATGTTACAGAAAAATTTTGCGAGTTCGGTTGACTGAGAGAAGGGTGAATGTCTCCATAAGCAATGAGCTGAAAGCCATAAAAAGGATGGTTGCTGTACACAGATTACGTATATAGGCGTGAGGAGTGTTTTTGGTATAAATGCGCTCAAGTTACTTGATGTACCTATACCAGCAATACATTTACATTTCATTTTATTTATTATCTAATATTTAGACGACATACATTTTATTGTTTTTTTGTTGTTGTTGTTGTTGTTGTTGTTGTTTTTCAATTTTCAATTTTTATTATTCACATTATTATAAAATATTTACATTATATATAGTAAGGTAGGAATACACTAATAAAGGAGAAGAAGAAGGGAAAAAAATAAAATTAATTGCTTGGGTAGAAGTGAACGGTGGTCAGAGGAGCTTAGCTTTCGAGCTAACCACCGCTAACCACCGCTAATCACCGCTTCCAGACGCAAAAAATAAAAGACAAAAGTACTAGAAAAGCAAAATACGAAAGTGCGTAAAGGAAATATTACCTAAGTAGTAAAACAAAATTCAATTTTTTTGTATTTTTTCCCGTAGAAACCTGCTTTCTTCTAGTATCCACAACGCCGTGTAATGGGCAAAAAAGGGAGGTTCCATGCATTTACCACTTCTTAAGTGATTTTTTTATTCATGTGGTGACTAAAAATTGTAATTTTAATTTAGATAACTGTGAAATTATCAATTGCTTTCTACCTGCTATGCATTCTACAATAGATGTTTTGATAGAAATACAAATGTAGACAATGATTACATCTTATAGTGATCTTTAGCTAAATTGATCATAAATATAACAATTAATTGTTTTTTTCTTAGCTTCCCGAGTGATATTTTTGCCTAAACTTCGTTAGTGTTTATCTCGAGATCTAGTTTGTCCCTCAGAATAAACATGGTTGATGAAAACTACTCTCGGCTATTTTTCTGCGCGTATTACACCTTAGGTGCACTCTCCAAGGTAACAAACATGTAGTTATAATTGAATTTGGAGCTGTTGAGGACCTGTGACGTCATAATTTTATATCGGCCACCATCTTGAAATGTAAAGAAAAATTTCGATTCATGCATTCAAATCTTACTTTGCAATCTAAGCATTTCTTGTTTTCAGGTTCTAAAGCATTTTTTTACAGCGCTTTTCACAAACACGCAAACTCTAAAGTACAAAAGCCGGCTTCACAATTGCGTTTTTAATCATAATTACGATCACATGTAGGGAAATCTCTATTCCTCAATAGCTCGGCTTCTCGGAGATTTTCCCGCCACAGTCACTCCTCTCGAGTAATGTGCAAATTTTAAATTCAATGTTAATTAACCTATTTATTATCGTTTTTATTCTGCTTGTAATTCATTGTGTGGCAAAATAATAAATAAATAAAAATCACAAGCAAAGAACCTTGAAACACAGACACACACAAAACGGATCGAAATCCACCAATCACAGATCACAAACTTTGACCTATTGAACGGGCCGTGAAAGTTCTGTTTCCTAAGAGGTCCGTTGAGAGGATTGACGGCAGCACGCAAACGTCAGTTGGCTTTTGAAATTCAGAGTTCGCCTGCTTTTGAAAAGCGCAGTAATTAAAATTGCCTTTCTTTGGTAACGTTTCATAAGTTTTTTCAAAGTTCGGATTTATAACTTAAAAGGGGCCTCCCACGCCTGCCGCCCAGGAGCCAGTGCCTAGGTACCGGCACAAAACAGTCAGGTGTTCACACCTTGAGTACAATACAAGTCTCCACCTTGTACTCGCGTACTGGCACCATGCTTGAATTCTAGTGTGGGTACTTTAAACAAAGGGTATGTTCACTTTAGAAGAAAAGAATAAAACTTATACATGTACATAACATACGGCTATTTCCAAATTCTCTGCTGAAAACTTATACATAACATAATTACGGCTAGTTCCAAATGGTTTAAATTCGCCGTGTTGCTACTAAAACGATTATAAAAAAAGATAAGCTTGTGGTCCACGGCAAGTAGAGTGCTCCTTTCCTTTCTTTGCTGGTTCGCATATCTTGGTAACAAACTGAGTTTTCTGCTTAAGCTGTGATGGAGATATACACTACAATCATGGTGATTTCACTAGGCTCTCGGTACTTATGGGCACAACTTCAATTTTTCGCAGGGAAAGGATTCCGCTGCTGCTGCCATTCAGGTCAGAGTGTCTTTTAACGCTTGTAGTTCCATTGCTGGCAGCTGGAAATATCACGCGTATTCTTCTTTTGAACCTCTCTCTGATCTGCGGGATAATCAAAGACAATTAATTCAAAAGATCGCTCCCTGCCAAGTCCGTAAGGAAGTTTGGACGGACGGACGTACGCTGACGTCATAACCAAATTTTCTCGTATCGATCGATAGGTTTCCATTTTCTATAGCAATAGAGGCTCCGCCACCCGCGCGCGGAGGTTCCGCTATCAACTGTCTCTGGTGCTATTGGTGTTTTTGGGTCATGAGAACTTTCCGTAATAAACAGGTGTTCGTAATCGAGGGGTTTGATCGCAAATTCCTTGTGATTTTGGTTCTGTGTTTGGATCCGAGTTACTAAAAACATTGCTTAACTTATAATTCGACAACACGAGATGATAAAATTTGCAATCATTTAACATTTTGTCCTTACCTCACTATTTCTCACACAGTGAAGAAGAAAGATGGAAAATCCCTGCGGGTAGGAAAATAAGAAAGACTGTCACCAAAGTTTTCCAAAAAATGTACTTATATAATCCTTGGCCATCTTAAGTGAAATAATTTCGAGCTTTGCCTTATCTTCTTTTAATTTCTTGGCTTTGATTTGTGATTAAGTATTTCCTTTTTAAGCTAAAAAATAGGTGCGCAAAGAAGGGGGCTCGCATCTCACCTGAGTGGAATTGAAGATAACAAAAATGTAAGCGAATGCTTTGTGGGTTGACGATAATGCGCCGAATAACCACGTGACCCCAAGTAAGGGAATTAGCACCACGCACGCTCTGATTCCAAGTCTGCAAAATAAATAAGATATTCAATTAGATATATATAAATCTCGAAGATAAACAGACGAATCGTTGTTTCCAACGTCCCAACTTTTTTAGCCTAGCCCGCCATCAGTGGAATGCCGATGGTGTTGTTGCAGCTAAGTCATTGTGTCGTCAATTAAAAACGAAGGGAACACAATAGAGCAGTTTGAGTAGTGATAATGTAATGACATGACCACTTAACGACCAAACAATGTTTTGTTCTCAAAAGGAATCTTTGCTTCATTCAAGCCGGGCGCGTAACAAATGCAGTATATTACATGTACTTACACATGCCTGTTAAAACAAGCAATAAAATCTGTGAGACCTTATCTGTTCTCCTTGGTTGTCCTTTGTTTGTTCCATTCTTGTCATTTCTCTTATAACTCTCACCAAAATCAACAAGTTTATCTGAAAAAAATAACAGAGTTGAGAAAATAGAAAACCTAAATTGGAATATCACAACACCGCTCACGTGATGGTGACTGAGGTAATCTTTGTCGTTAAAACAAATCCTTTAAACCAATTTCTTTGTTTTTCTTTTAGTGCGTTTTTGTGTCACTATTTTTTTTATCAGATTAAAAAAAAAATATTGACTGAACTTACGATCTCAATCGCAAGAACAAACGAGATGAATATCCAGATCAATCCGTTAGAAGAAGAAATCCAGCAGCTAAAACGAAAACAAAATAAATTATAAAATCTTCCAGTGTGTGTGCGTGTTGGAAATGAAAAGGACAAATGTTAACTGATATATCTATTCTCATATACGAACATTCACCCAAGCAAAATGAAACTCCATTCGCACTAAAGAATATTGTTTTCGATAAACTGCTATAGAAATTGGCCTTATTTATGAAAAAATCCTTAATGACTATGCTACAAAATTAAATGTTTGCTCTCTTGGCGAAACTGTTGATATAAATTTATTAAAATCAATAATATTTACACGTTTATACTACTACATGAGAAATTTCTGCAATTTGATTGGCTTATATTAGAGCAGTGGTATTTCAGCTTAACTCGAAATACCTACATGTGAAAATTACAAACCTCTTGGGGGTAGTAGTATAAACAAATAATAGCATGATTTGTGCGTGATATTTGGCAAAAATACCACTCGTGATATTTCAAAGAGGTCTCAAATTTCACTCTCCTAACGGCTCGTGAAATAACGTACAACAATGTCGAAATATCACTCGTGGTATTTATGCCAAATATCACAACAAATCATGGGGCTTACCTCGGTGTAAAAACCTGTGAAGTTTTTCTTTGTTTTCTAGCTATTATTTTCCTTGGCTCTAGTGTGTTGACTTCTCAGTGGCTTCTTTGTATTCATTGTTTTACGTCACTCGTGAGTTTCACAGGTTTTTACACCGAGGATGAGCCAAATCATGCCATTACCTATACTAATAAAAACTGATTTCCCCGTAACGAAGGGCAAATGGTGTATATACGAGAAAGGGTATGGGTATTTCACTCTTATAGGTAAACGAAAACGATGTATCTTTACGTATTCTACTTTTCAGCACTTCACTTCTTACTATTCATCGCTGACAAAACTTGTGATTCCGTCCATCCCGGCAGCAACACTGAGCGATAAAGTGACCATTGCCGCAGGAAAGCCTGAAATAAAAGGTGTGGCGGGAGGAGTGCAATTATAAAATTTACATGAACATTCAAAATATTAATTCGGGTTTAACGCATAAATTCAAAAGTGCGAACAACACAGGGACCGCGGAGGGGGAGGGGCTGGTAGGGCTATAGCCCTATCACTTTTATTGCTGGGATTTATTTCATGACACTCCAGTTGACATGGAAAAAATTTCCGTGGAATTATTAGACTTTACCCTATGGAAGAGTGGGATGTTTGCCTGTCAGAACGATTACAACCCGATGTGCGTGCAAGGATAATAAGATGTAAGGCTCAAATGGAGTGATTTGACTTTTTCTCTGCTTTGCATCTTGGAGAGCACCTTTACTGCCACACCGATAATCTATCTAAGGATCTTCAGGGTACTAAGATGGCTGCTGTCAGTGGACAACGCCTGGCAAATCTAACAAAGGGGACGCTCACAAAAATTCGCTTTGATCAAAGCTTCGACCATTTCTATGCTAATGTTGACCGCAAGAGTGAAGGCCTGCTTGGCGAACCAACGCGTCCAAGAAAACGACACACTCCGGCCAGACTGAAGGTTGGTGCTGGTGCACCAAGCTATCCCCAAACTGCTAAAGATCACATTGTACGAGCCTATTATGAGGCTATTGATCTTATCGTCAGGGCTATCTATCAGCGTGTTAATCAAGAAAGCTTCAGCTCTTAAGTACAGATGGAGACCCTTTTGCTTAAAGCTGCTATAGATAATGGTGACGACTATGAGGCAGAGTTCAGTTTCTTGAAGCATAATACAGGGAAGATGTTGCGATACAGGGGCGCTACCTAGGCAACTAAGTACTATGGAAGAAGGAGAAGATATCATGTTTTGACGAAATCCTGTTGGCGGTGTTAAAGTTTCCAGAAACAGAAAAGAAGCTAATCCAGGAAGTCAGTTAAACTATCTGTAAGCTGCTTGCTATAAATCCTCTTACCAGCGCTGCTGGCGAGGGTTCATTCTCATCCGTACGTACAGCGTCTGAAGACGTGGCATCGATCCGGGATGGGTGATGAGAGGTTTAGCAACCTAGTAGTAACGTTGAATAGTTACAAGCTGAGAACAGACAGTGTCTCTATAGCTGACGTGGCACAGGAGTTTCTTTCCAGCAATGAGGACCGCAAGAGAAATTTCAGCACTGCTGACAACTTCAAAGTAGCAATTTTAGGAAGGTTTATTCAACATATTGGCTATACTGGATACTATAACACGTGACGACGTTTATGTTATATTTGTTGAGGCTGTAAATAAGATGGCGCGCAAATGCTAGACTGCGAGCAGTCTATCTTTTTCTTCAGATTTCAAGGGGGAGTGCACGCGCCTGTGAGCGTGTTTCGGGCGTTTTGCTTGATGGACCAAGAGAAAAGAGAGACTGCTCGTAGTCTACGCAAATGCAAGATAAATGGCGAAAAACTGAACTTAATGTTTCTTTGTATTGGCAAGATTTTTTAGCCCTACCACTTTAAAATGGTCTCCGCGGTCCCTGCAACACTCTATACACACTGAATAACAAGCATGAAACTTTAAACACACGTTGAAGTATTCGCGAGGATAATTGTCGCCAACTATAAGGTGAAACATCGATAACATTAGAATGTCATTTATGCAAAGGTCGTCAGAAAATGAGTTTCAGGGTTTTATCAGGAACAAAATTTGAAATTTGGGTCTGTCAATTTGACTTCTTCGATAAAATTTAATTGAAACGTTGATGCTATTGTGCTCCTTTTTTCGCCGTTACATTCAGTCTTACGTCCGACACTAGTTTCATCCTCGTCTTTGCCCAAACCTTGAGAAATTAAAATGCAAATTTATCCCTTTACACCTACCCCATGAAATTCCGTGACAAATTTTCATCTTACTGCTAACGTTGTAAACTTTGACAACAAACAAGTAAAGATAAATTCCCTCCATTAACATCCAACAGAAAGCCACCATAAGGAAATATTGAATCAGGGCTGCTGCTGTCACACAGACGCCCTGCAAAGTACAACATATATATCCTGAAATTCATCCGATTGCTTCGAGTCGTTTTCTCCTCTCAACAACGTCTGAATCGACCGGCCGTTAATGCCATCCAGTTACGTCACCACTCCTTGGCCTTTGCTTTAATTCATGCAAAAACTAAAACACGATTTTCAAGTGGCAAACCGAGAAATATCGTTTGGAAATGTCTGCATGGTACAGAATTGCTTTATTTTTTCGATCGTAGTTCATGTTTAACGTTCAAACTACCAACCGCATGCAGTACAACTCTGAAGATCTCTGAACCGGTTGTACTGAATGCTATTATCAAACTAGGTCGCAATCACGCAATGAAATTAACACACACACGGAACACTTAGTTCAAAAACACAATGATTTGTTAAAAAATTGAAAAAAAGCTATTTGGTCCTTAACGAAGAAAAAAACAAGGGAACAAGAAAGAAAAGCTAACAGAATCATTACACTTGACGGTAAAAATAGCAAGAAGGTCGAATTATAATATTGATCTCAGAAAACTTCGCGTAAACAAAATCACGAAACCACAAATTGGCTCCAAATGAAAAACCTACCGACTCCCCGCAATGATTCTTCATTAGCAGTTCAATTTAGCATTTCAGTTTCGAAGACAAGGGCAATTTTGCTGTTTAAGATAAAGATTAAGCTTATCGAAATGTTTGAACTACGCGAAAGAATGCCAGGGATGCGATCAAGCGACAATCCCGCTAAAATTTTTCATAATTATACATAATTATGCGAATGTTTAGGCAATCAACCAATCAAAATCACTACCCGGTTTTCGGGTAGTGAGTGACGTCACTGGACGGCATTAACGGCCGGTCGATTCAGACGTTGTTGAGAGGAGAAAACGACTCGAAGCAATCGGATGAATTTCAGGCTACAACATATAGTCAAAACTCGCATATTGGAAGGACAATGTTATCACCTTGTACCTTTAGTTTCCAGGACGAAAAATTCCAGGAAAACACCCCGGAAAGCTTCAATACTTAGATTGACCAGGCTTCAATGTAACAAACTTTTACAAGAGTAATTCACAAGCGTAGCCATTATTGTTTTAGAGTCTGAAAACAATAGCTACACTTGTAAAATGCACTTGTAAAAGTTCTATTAAATTGACCTCGGGTAATTTTTAACACCCCATCTTGCCCTATGTTTCCATTTCAGTAATAGTAAATGGAATCCACAAAAAAAAACGTCAGACATTTAAAGTACAGTATGTGGACTGAATTTGCCACCCTAGGGCCTTTTTACATGGAGGACCCCAAATAGGTGAGGTAACCCGCTTTGGTGGGGAAACCCGCCTGTCCATACAATCTCTCATATTCATTTGATCGCTCTTACATGATAGGTGGGATGACAATATGAGAAATTACATGGACAAGTCGGTTACCCCACCATAGCAGGTTACCTCACCTACCTGGGGTCCCCCACCTCCATGTAAACAGTCCCTTAGAAACGAGAAGGAAAGTAGAGCAGATATGCTTCCAGGAATTGTTTCTGGGATCCTTAATAGGGACTTTAAGATCCAACGATGCCAAGGTAACGACAACGTCTCGTAAAAAGTAAATTTGCGTTCTTTTAGTCTTTTTTCGCGATTATTCCTACCCGCTTACTTTGTCAAATGTAGGCTAACCCTCCTGAAGTTGAATTCCAAGAGACCATATCCAAGTTCAGAAAGAGAAATAAAATTTCGCCGTTACTTGTTTACGTTCTCCATAAAACACGAAATTACGCATTTTCACGTCGTAGTCGTGCAAAAACGGCAAGAGAAATGTACAAAAAGTGTGATGCACGAGCAAAATTGTTGTTTTGCTTATTAAAGCTATTGTTTTCTTTGACGTTCTCGTTGCGGTCTCGTTGTTAGATCTTAAGGTCCCTTATAATTACTGGGAACGCGCTGGTCAGATATTGGCCTTTTTTCCGTGTTACTAGTAACAGTCCCAAGTCTTTGCGAAAGTTAATCCGGCCTATTTCACTTCTCGTTGCTTAAGTGACGAATTGACCACTACAGAAAATGCCATAACACACCATAATACTTCTTGCTGGTCACTCCAAAATTTTGCATAAGCCTTGTCTTCAGTTTCTCTCGGGAGTTAAAATGGCCCCACGACGGAAAATGAAAAGAATGCTCCAGCAAACTTTTGGAGTGACTAACGAAGAGTATTATGGTACATTATGGTATTTTCTGTAGTGGTCAATTGGCTAAAGTGATTATGATCAGCGCTTAAAAGAGTTCTCACCTTGTTTTCAGTTGCTCCAATGCCTGCGAGGAAGATTATTTGGCCCACTCCAAGGGAAGCGACAAGACTTATCCGGATTTGGGACAGTGGTGCTTTAATATCGCTGTGTAAAGATAAACAACTACATTGTCTTCAACAAAACCACTCTGGGTGGGTCTAACAAAGGAATGTCTCTAAATGTGTATTATAACAATGCAACGCAATAAAGCGTCTTTCCGTTCACGTGACCAGCTTCTATGCAAATTTATTGGAACCAAAGAAAGTGTTTACATAAGAAAAGAGTTCAACTCCCACAAGACTGGTTTGGAACACCAACATGGCCGCCTTTTTATAGTTTTTATTGTTTTTTTTTTTTATTATGGTCTCCGTTACGTCATATGAAAACGCTCTATACAAAACAAATTATCATACAATACAACACAATACAATACAATTCAACACAGTAAAATACAATGCAATACAATACACTACCCTACAATGCAATGTCACACAATACAATACAAAGCATTAGAATAAAGTACAAGACAAGACAAGATAAGATAAGATATAATGAGATAAGAAAAGAGAAGATAAGAAAAAATTAAAGACTAAGAAGGGATAACGTTCAAAATTTGGGCTTAAGGAGTCGTGTTGAAACATTTGATTATGTTTTAAAAAGATATTAGATGTACTTACGTCAGAAATGCGTAGCAGATTATTGTCGCTATGATTCCGATTAAGGAAAGGGTAAGACCCAAGTGGGTCAGAATATTCAGCACCTTTTCATCTTTCTACATACAAAACAACCGGAAAACCATTTAATCTCCACCGTACCAGACACATGCATGAATGGATGCCCCCCTTACATGCAGGCTAATCTTGCTCTCAAGAGCCCGACGTTCTTTCCTGCAGCTGGCACCCAGGCTTATTTTTCGCCGAATTTGTTCTCAAAAACATTTCGAGGTATAACCTCTTTCTTTTGCAAGATCTGTTCACTTTTTAATTAAATATTTGCAGGACAAATAAGGCTACGGTTACGAGATTAGGCCTCACAAATGCAGTGAAACCGGGTCATTTGATGATTTTGGCGGCATTTCGATTTTTAAGAAAAAGTGTCCTCATAAACACGCTTATAAAAACACCACTGTTACACAATAAAACGATAATTTTCTAGGCGCAACTATTTATTCTTAGGCTACTCAACAGGCGTTATTGGGGTGCTCAGGCGGGTTTTAAGGCGCCAGTAGGAGGCGTTAGACAAGAGAGAGGAGGGAAAAGAGAGAAATGTTGCCTCTCTCTCTTGCAATAGAAACCAGCGTTCGCCAGATGAACGTTTCGAAGAGAGCGAACAATAACCTGTCTACAGGCGTTATTTTTCTCTTTTTCCCCCTCTCTCTTGTCTTGCACTCAGGTTTGCTCCCCGAAACCCGCCTGAGTGACCCCAATAACGCATGTTGTATAACAACATGATTAATCGACTAGAAAACCAAAACACAGGGTCTGGAAGGATACTGCCGATCCGGGATCTTAACAAAATACAGTGCGGGATTTGGGAAGACATTGATAGGATTCGATATTTGACGGGAAGCGGGCAGTTAGAAAGTAGTGGATGTAGACCCCGATGGTGTGGCCAGCCTTTCCTCGGTGTCTGGAAGGGTATTTCCGGGAAACAGGATGTGAACAAAATACAGTGCGGGATTTGGGAAAACGTTGACGGGACACAGAATGTGACTGCCGCTTGAGAAGATAAGCTGAAATTTGGCCACGGATGCGAGTTTGGAAAAAAATGATATTCGAAATAGCGATGAAAAAAGTTTGGGATGTGCGTTCAGGACCCTCCTTTCCAGACCCTACAAACTTACTTCTGTTCTTTCTGTCTTGTACCCTACCTTTCGCATTCTACTGTATTGGCCAGTTTTCGGTTCAGAATCTGTGTCAAACTGCATTAGAACTGCAAAGTTAGTTAAGTGATTGCAGCTGCATTCTGTCCTGGAGTCATTCAACCATTTGACATGACATCCTCGTCCTGACCAACCTACAGGGCTTCACGAACAATAAAATAAGTCACCAGCACAAGCAGGCAACTTTTTTACTTTTAAGAGTAAAAACTGCCGTTTTCGACCTTGCCGTTCATTTTCAAAGCCAGAGGACTGGGTTTGAAAATGCTCCAACCAAAACGAGACGGAGTACTTCGATATCCCAGCTTCCAATATTGGATCCGCTGTTAAAACTCGCCCTCCGTCGGTACACCATTCATTCAATTTCTCTTCCACCCTTACATTCCTAGCATTTAATGTGCCACCCTCCCTGGAGCTTTACAAGGATACGCGATATACGTATTTCTAGTTCCTAACTGGGACAGTTCACTAGCAAACTAAAGTGTGGAACACAACAATCCCGTGTCATGTCATATCATATCATCTCATCCTGTCCTGTCTCATCACATTAAGGCGGTAACTAAAGCTGTGACAGACTTCGCGGGATAAATTATTTTGTATCTAGGGAAGCGGTGTGGACAACTGTCGGCAAGCTTTAAGAAGAACTCGGATATAAATCTCCTCCTAACAAAAGCTGGATTTGAAGTTTCTCGGCCACCCCGAGTTCAACTCCTCCCCCGTGCTTGTAAACAGCGAACTGGTTGCTTCTTGACAGACCTTACAGCTGGGGTTTTTAGTCCTTTTAGTTCTATTTAACTTGTAGCCTGAGAAAACAGCCGACATTTGGCGACGCTATGTGGTTTCGCCACCAAATGACGTGTGAGAAACGAACGCAGAAATTCCATACTGATGACGCGTCACTACCCAGATCTGGGTAGTGCTTCTGATTGATTGAATCATATTCCCCCCGCGGTACGACCAATCAAAAGCACTACCCAGTTCTGGGTAGTGACGCGTCATCAGTATGGAATTTCTGGGCTCGTTTCTCAGACGTCATTTGGCGGATGAACCAGTGGTAGCGTCGCCAAATGTAGGCTGTTTTCTCAGGCTATTTAACTTGAATTGTTTGTCGTTTCTTCGTATTTACGTGTACCGTCTGTAAAATAGATGAGGTGCATTTCCACCGTGGTTAAACCATTTACGATTTCCCATCTACTTCTTCCCCAAATTATAAGTCTAATCCATATGCCAAATCTATAAGACTCTGTGAACTTCACCGCTAAGTCGGCACTTGTTACGCTACAGTGGCTTACGAAGATTTGAATTTCGCGGTCGATGATCTGGCTACGCATCGGTAATCGCAACCTTTGTTTCTCGAGTAATAGAGGCACGTCACCTTAAACAATAAAAAAGACCTTAAAAGTAGCGAAAACCCCTGTCATTGTTAACCCAAAATTGCAATCCAAAGTTTTATACGAATAGGCATGCACAACTTTAGAAACGAGAAGAAAACTGGAGCGGAAATGTATCCCGCAATTGTTTATGGGATTGTTATTTGAGACGCACCGGTCAGCTATTGGCCAATTTTTTCCCCTGCTTGAAGCAACAGTTAGCTCGTCCCAGTTTCTTTCTCTTTTTAAAGTGGCGAATTTTCTTTTATACAATTGTGTCGCACTTGTAGCCTGCGACCAAGCTCTCCTATTTGGGCAAGCAAAGCGAGCCTCGCGAGAACGCGCGAGCAAGGGGCCGAGGAAAGGAGAGCTTGCAACCATCTCTCATAAATTTTCATATCCACCCCGGAAACCCCGGGACTCAGCAAAGCGTGAAAATTGTCACCGCAAACGTGCCGCCTGTCAAGTAAGTTTAGACAGCCGAGGGCGCGTAGAATTATTTATTTATAAATCGCTTTCGCAACAGCATTAAAGCAATGTTTTTATCACTGATATGTTTTTTTTTTTCACGGGGACATCGAACTTCAACGTGTCCGCTCGGATAAGAACTCACTACTTTGATTCTTGTTTCCTTTACTTTTTCACTCTCCCGGTTTTCAGAATTAAACAAGGCGCTTGACACAAATGAATACAACTGATTAAGGGTTTTCATTTTCCTTCCACAAGAACTACAAACTCGGTCCGACTTATCCTTGGCACGCAATATTCTCTTTGCGAGAATTACAACAAACGAGCCCGTCTGCATTGAGGGCTGAAACAAGTTCTCGGTACCAATCTGATCCCCCTGAGAACCAAATTTGACACACAGACGAAGCGGGTGCCAGCTTGGCCTGTTATCAATCAACTTTGTTTTCCGGAACGTCATTTTTCAGCCAATGGTATTTCCCTTCGTCTGGGCGAAGTACAAATAAAAATTTGTAAGGGATGGTTGCAAGCTCTCCTTTCCTCTGCCCCTCGCGGCTTCGCCGCTCGCTCGCGCGTTCTCGCGAGACTCGTTTCACTCGCCCAAATAGGAGAGCTTGCTCGCAGGCTATCGCACTTGCGGTTCAATTTACCTGTCTTCCAAAAAGTTCCAAATTACACACTCTCTTTTCCTTGTTGCCTTCTAAAATCTAAAATCAAACGAACCCTGTTATGATTTTCAGTACATCTCAGTTTAGCTCGTCAAAACGTGGCATGAGGTTTTAAAATATTAGATATTCCTCTATGACTAAAGAACTTAATGTGATGAAGTACCAACAAAAGGGGTTTTGTTGAGTTATACGAGCCTAAGAATTTGTTAGGGTAAGTCCAGAGCAAAAATACGCATTGGCTTAAGGATTTATTGAATTAATGGCCATGTCAGTACGTATTGTCAGTAACTATCCCGTAGATATCCAGGTATCCGAATAATTAGATAACCTAGGAAGTTTCTTGTTTAGGAAAAGCTTACCATTACGTTCGAGAACACAAGTGTGACGTTTCCCTGCAACGTTGAGGGATGAGTATTAATTGTTGCTGACATGATCATAGTGTTGAGACTCTTGCTGAAAAGCAAAGGAAATAATAACACTTGAGAGTCACTGAAGAAATCCACTTTTTCTAAATAGCATAAAGAGAGATTATTGTAGGTCCATAGGCGAAAAACGTTAAGACCTGGTATCTCTCCCTAAGTTAATGTAGCAGTGTAAGTGACGGTTAAGACTATGCCCACTAAAAAACCATTCCGTAACACGGATTCCATTTTAGTGCTGGTTTGTATGTAGATTAGGGTGGAGAATAGTGTCCTTTCGTAAGGAAAACCTCACTTTGGAACAGAGTTTGGACAGAAAATGTGCACAAACATATCAATTCTTTAAAGACCTCAAGAAACCTACAGTTAAGAGTCTTAGAACAAGAAGAACGTACGACAGTGGACCCCGACATTAAATATTTTGCAGCTAGCTAGACATAGCTTGCTTGTACTCTCGAGTGTTCCGAAAGCTAGTTAGACTAGCTAGTACTGACCTTGTTTTGTTAACCATTGTATTCGTTTGGTTTACGAGAAACAGTTCTTGGAGTCTTTTATAGATGACACCGAGAAAAATTGAACCTGAAAAAAAAGCGATCCATACTAACGTGATAACGGCAAAAGCACGGCTTCATACATACTTAAACTGTTTTCTCAATTTTCTCCTTAAGTTATCAGGACAAAATCACAAAAAAGGTTAAATAAAAACTGAACTAATTCTGTAAGGAAATGTATGAAGATCAGTTTAAGGGATTTGTATGTCAACACCGCGGGTAGCACAAGTCAGAGTAAATATCTCCAGCGGGACGAAAACAGAGGCCGTTATAGTAGAAACCGGTTGTGAAGCGTTTTCTCTCACATGGACGGCGGCTGTTTTAGTTACTACTGAGATAACGAATTTGCTTGCATACCGTTATGACTGAAATCTTCTGAAGGAATTTTGATGTAGTTTTGTCCCTCTGGATCAAAGAGATCAAACTGGCTCCCATTGTCGTAGACTCCTTTTCTGACCTGTAAAGCTATTATACAATAACTTTAGTAAAGTGCAGAGAATTATGCATGTGAAATTATTCTTGCTGTTAAACTCCTTTTTTGAAACCTTCACCGTAGTTTTAACCCTGCAATTACGACTACGACTACATCATTTGGTCTTTTCACTCATGACCATACCACATCTTAGGATATCCAAAACATTTTGCGATTCTCTGGATTATTTTTTCTTCTTCTCTGTGATAGTTACCCGAGCTTACGTAGCAGCAAGAGTGGTAATCTGCAAGCCGTTTTATTTTCTTCGTATTTAGTTCACAAACAGGACCGGGGTCATAGACCCTTGCGTTCCTAGCGGAGACCGTTGAAACTGTGAATTAAAGGCATCGCGACGTGACGGACAACATTTTCCAGAGGGCTATGCATATTCTGTGAAGAAACCGTTGGAAAGATTAATGCAAAGAATGTCGACAAGTTTTTCCGGAACGGGTAGGTCCACGAATTCTATCGCTTGAAAGCATTGATTACTTTGCTGGGTTCGTTGGTTGAGTGTGGTAAACTTTCATTGAATGCTTACGAGTCTCGTGATGAGCATGATAGGTGATGTGGCGAGAGGGCATTGGCTCTGGAAGTCGTCCAGGCCTTTCCGCTTTTCTGCAGCCACATAAGTCAGTTTAATGTCCTCTCCGCAGATTTTACATGTCAAGTTCCCGTGCAAAGGCTCATATCTTCAGTCCCAATTATAAAGGAATTATGCACAGCTAATAATTTTCACTACGCAATGATTTAATGGACTAGACTGTACTGGTGCCGTACTCGACTCTATTGGATGGGATGCTCATTCTTCTGTAGGGGTCTTTAGGAATTCTCCCCCCAAAAAAGTTGGTGCATGGGCACCTGCCCTCCAAGTCCCTTTTACTCCTAAGGCCATTTCTAACGGACACCACACCAAGACAGACACCTCCTGTTGGTCCTTGGTTTTCCAGTCAGCATAATAAAACTAGGGACTCTCTATAAGGCCGAAGAGGACTTCGGAAATCGGGCATCAAAGATCAGACATTAGACATCGGACATCGGACATCAGACATTGAGCAACGGATATCAAACATCGGATACGGACATCTGACATCTGACATCTGACATCTGACATCTGACATCTGACATTGGACATCGGATATCGAAATGAGACATCAGACATCGGACATAGCACACCGGATATCAGACGTCAGACCTCAAACCTTAGACATCTGACATCAGGTATCAGACTTCAGACATCAGACATCAGACATCAGAAATCAGAAATCACACATCAGAAATCGGACATCAAACATTGGACATCAGGCATCAGACATCAGATATCAGACATCGGCCATCGTACACGGGACGTCAGACGTCACACATCGGACATCCGATATTGCACACCGGACATAAGACGTCAGAAATGGGACATTGGACATCAGGCATCAGACATCACACATCGGACCTCAGACATCAGACATCGGCCATCGGACATTGGACATAACACATCGGACATCGCATACAGCACACCGGACATCAGACATCGGACATCAAATATCGCACATTAGACATCAGACATCGGTCATCTAAAATCGGACATCGGACATTGCACACCGAACATCAGACGTTAGACATCGGACATTAGACATCAGACATCAGACATAAGATATCGGACCTCAGACATCAGACGTCGGACACCGGACATCAGACATCGGACATCAGACATCAGACATTGGACTTCGGACACTATGTGTGCACGTAACACACCGGACATCAGACGTCAGACATCGGACATTACACACGAGACTTCAGGCATCAGACATCGGACATCAAATATCGGACATCAGAAATACATACATACATACGAAACTTTATTTAACTTCGGATTTTAGGGTAGCCTAAAGGCTAGTATCTCCAATGAATTACACGTACAACATCAAACATAAAAAACATGTTAGCATGAAAACACAAACTGGTGGTTAGTAAACGTCTAATTCATGAAACTATGGGCAAAAATGAAAACGCCTAAATTCCTTCAGATTAGTGGTTCTCCTACAAGAACATCGGACATCGGACATCGGACATCGGACAGCGGATATCGGACATCAGACGTCAGAAATCGGACATCGGACCTTAGATATCGGGCATCAGCATCAGATATCAGACATCGGACCTCAGAAATCAGACATCGGACATCAAACATCGGAGATCAGACATCAGACATCGGACATTGGACATCAAACATCAGACATCGGACATTGGTGCGTTGTCCGATATCTGATGTCCGATCTCCGATGTCTGCTGTTTGATGTCTGACGTTTGACCAATGGACATTGGACATCTGAAATCTGTATTCATCCAATTTCTTTTTTTAAAAAAAAAAAAGCTAGGCCTTTTGGCATGTTACTCTTTTGAGTTTAATTTTGGTCGAGGGATTTCTTTGGGTTTCGTTGGGACTTTTATGGGTTTTTATTTCCCCCTTTTGATCGTCATCCACGTCAGTTTAGCTCGGGAGTCTCCCCTTGGGGAGTAAAAGCGATTCGAGTGCAAATGTTAAGAGTTTATTCCTGAGCACCAAAAATGGAGCACTAAAATCTTTAATTTATGACGTAAATGAAACGAACGCTTAAGCCCCTCCACTTTTCATATGGAAGTCCTCCCGTGAATTAAGACTGTAAAGGGCCCGTTTTTTTTCTTGCCCCGAAATTTTTTCGCTGGCTCACATTGGCGGTTCAATAGCCGAAATTTTCCCAGAACTCCCACAAGTGAGCCTAAGCCCATTCTCCGTCGATTGCAACCGTTCCTTGTGTCTTCACGCATTTCTTCTACCCTTGAATAGTGGGTTTATAGAAGATCTATTGGTCTAAAAGCCCTTAGACACCTTATAAAGTTTACATGATGAGGTATTTCTTACATCTCTCTACAAGTCAATGTAACCTGGCTAGGTAGCACTGAGTTTTTTCTCCTTCCCCACATGGTTCCATGCTGGCACACAGACTCCTTAAAAACCAATCGCCTCCTATTTCTTATCTAATCTCCAAGCAAGCTCGAGTTAACGTTTTTGTAGAGTGACTTGTATACTAAGAATTGCATTTCCTCTTCGTCGATGAGAATTTTTCATAAATGTTTTTATCAAAATATTACCGATGGTTTCATATTCTAGTTTCCCTTACTGTGATGGCCTAGTTCAATCCATTAATTAATCTTCTTCACTATACATGAACATGCTTTTGGGGTGTAACTTGTAAATGGCAAGACAACAAAATGTAAGTTTTTAAGAGTTTTTAGAAGTCACAGAACATTTGAAATGTTGACCGTATTCACTCAGGTAGTCAGTAGCTATGCAAATATCTTGGAACAAAGTTATTAAAAGTTTCTACTTGAGAAGAGAGTTTGACCCCCAAAGGATTATCCTGTTACACCAACATGGCCGCTATTTCACTGTTTTGTACACCAACATTTTTCCGTAATGTCAGGGGGGAATGATCGATACTAAATACTTACCTATATTTTGGCTGTTCACCGAGAGATGTGCTGTATTGTTGACGAGGTGATACTGACCAAATTTTAATGCAAATTCCTCGAAAAGGAGAGTAGCCGTCAGCACTTCCTCCATCTTTTGTTCCACTGTTTTATTCAGACTTCTACCGTCAACTGATGTACGATTGGCGTATTCTTCCATTTTATCATCGAAAACCTTAACAGCTTCCTAAGAAAAGGAATCGCGAAAAAAGCCAAGGATACAGTCTTCGGAAAGATATCATTATCAGGGTTAGTCTTTTCAGAACGTCTCTAGGTGGTAGATTACGGAAAGGGTAAGTCCAGACCCTCTCTAATCACATCTATCTGATCAGATGACACTCTAAAGTACTCATGCTTTCTGAGTAATAGACTTACAAAAATACCATATGGAAAAAGAAATAAAATTATTATACAATAATTTTCAATTACCTGCAAAGAGTCATTCTTTTGAAAGTCAAGTTTATTGAATGCATTTCTCATCTAGGAAAGTAAAAGCAAACGGCCGTATTAATAGGAAATACATGGCTAAAAATTAAAGTAACAATTGGAGGAAACATTCAAATCTTCGCAAAAACCGCTAAACATTTCAAAGCTAATTTTCACAGTTGTCAGATGCAGTGCCCTTAGTGTTGTTTAAACTGAGTCAGATATTATTAAATAAAGTGATTGTAGTCTTTTCTACGTAAAAGTAAGGATAAAAAAATTAACAATCACTACAAATACACACGTCTTCTAAAATGATTGAGGTCCGACCTAGCACAGATCTTAAATAATATATAGATTTAGCCAGGGCTAAAAGCGAAGCTCCCATTAATAGATTTATAATTTAAATCAAACAATAAACTTGTAATCCACAAATCAGTTAACTTTAAGGGAAAGCTAAGGCTAAGTGATTTTAGAGTGAAAAAAAAAAATCTTACATCGAATTGATAGCCGTATATATACACCCAAAAAATAGCAATTATCTTCGATCACATTTTAGAGCCATAATGGCTCTTGATCACTGTAGATTAGGCCTGGAAAACGAATTTTTGGAAAACAAATCAGGCCGAATTTTTTGCGTTCGACAAGTTTACTTAACAAAATCTTGGCAACAACTCTGGGAGCGTGTAAACCAACATTTCATACTTTTTATACATCACATCTGAAACAGTAATATGAGGCGTTGTTTTTATCATATAGACCTCACACAAAATGCAGTATTTCACAATTTTTCAAGACAAATTGCACTCATTCAATCTTCAGAACCGTACGAAGCACGCGTGGGCTTTTAGCAAAACCGTTCCAAAAATTTCCAAAATCACCTATACGGCCAGCCGGTTCTCACTTTTGACAAGCGCCAAATTTTCAGTGAACATTAAAAGAGTTACGCGCTTCAACATAATAAAGAATTTATTGTGTTTATTTTTTTTATTAAATGGTTTTATAACGATGTGTAATCTTAAAAAGCGTTTGATACGAGCAGCATTTTGAGTACTCCTGCAAGCGTTGTTTATGAACGACTGAAAACAAACGGCAAAGCGATTGAAATTGTACGAGACTACTAACAATCAATAAAAGAAATGTAATTCGGTGAAACATTTACAGAGTCAACAATTTTCATTCACGGAGACAAGTATTAAAGCGTCTCTAAAAATCCTTAAAGCTTTTAGCCGGCTTCCTGATGTTTACTGTTTTCAAAGATGAACTCGAGGCAAGAAAATCGCTCAAAGCTTTCTTTCTACAGCCAAAATTATAACTAAATACTCTTCGGAACGTTTTTTCGTTCTATATGCGGAGAGAAAATATCGACTAAAGGCTTTTTAAAGTTCTGTAAGCTTATATATAGTAGATCAGATCATTGTCTCAGGTCTTTATACAAACGTGCATAAATTAGCCTCATTAGCTGCGCTCGACTTCATGAAATTAGATATAAAAAAACAAACATACACTGTATACAATAATTACTTAGGCTTACCATTCGAGATGCAGCTCTTGAAAGCTATAAAGTAAGGCCAGAATCGCTTGAGGGACTTTTCAACCCGCATCCAGCAGGCCGTTAACAAAACCCGGATCGGATTGCTCGGATCGGATCGGATCGGACTCCGGATCGGATCGGATCGGACTCCGGATCGGATCGGATCGGATTTCGGATCGGACTAGTATCTTCACTTTTGGTGCAGAAGAATTATTTTGACAAAAGCTGCTTTAACAATGACACAGGTGGCTCGGACATTTTCATCTAGTAAACTTCTATTCAGTCACGAAATGGAGGTTTCAGCTTTCAGATGAGTTTACTTCTAAACATGTAATCCGTGTCTGTCTGTAATACAAATCAGTGACAAGAAGATGTATGCCAACAGCAGTTCTCGAAGGACCGGTAGCTAGTAGTGGGCCGGGCTGTGTTGAACGTAGAATTTATGTGCGTTTCTGCAGCAAATAACCTTGAAAGGAAACGTGTTTAAATGCACATGCTAATTTCTGCTGATGCACAAGTGACACCTAAAGGGCCGGATATGTTGCAGAAAACACAGAAGCGAACAATCGAAGAATCTCGTTTCACAGTATTTGTAATAAACAATTTTAATATCGTACCTTTGCTCTTCATTTTTGACGTTTCAATTGCCTCCTCTGAAAAGGAAACCGTTCAAGTAGGCTCAGAAAATAACGAGATCACTTTACAATAAAAAAAAAGAAAAGAAACACTAAATTAGTTACAGAAGATTGTATACATACTTTTCTCTCCGCCATCTTCATTCCGGGGGATGTCACGTGACCATTTTTGGCGGGAATTTAAGGCGAATTGCCAGTCCGATCCGATCCGTAATCCGATCCGATCCGATCCGAGCAGTCCGATCCGGGTTTTGTCAACGGCCCATCCAGCAAGGTAAAAACGAAAGCGATGCATCCGAAATCGGATTTCCAACTTTGGCAACCGGCGCATTTCCCGACCAAAAATTCAATAAACAAACCAGCCATGAATCAAAGAAGACTGTTGATACCAGCTGTATTTCATTTTAAGCATCCAGTGGAAAAAGACAGTAAAAAACATTACAAGTTGACAAAATACTCTGTCAGCTTCAGCTGTCAAACTGAAAGTAAACAAGGATGAAGATGCTGTATAAATCAGTTTCTGCATGAACTCACCTGTCAAATTTTGACCAATCAGAGCATAAAAATTGGACGGTCGTAGAGCGTGATCAACGCGTGACTATGGTGAGAAAAGTGAAAAGCCTCTGTCTTCCCTCCTTCCCTGCTTGTATTTTTAAATTACTGGCTGAATTTTCGAGTCCGAGATCAGTTTGAAATCAAAATGTTAATAGCGCGGGGCCATAGTGACATTAACACAACACTTTCTGTCATCATGTCATTATTTTGCTGCCGTTCTCTTTGCCTTTGTATTTCTCTTTCGCGTTGCCTTTGTCTGTTCATTCTAGCTCTGTCTCGTTCTGCTTGCCGGCGTTTTTCACTATAATTTTCTCTCCTTCTTCTCGCTCTGACTCTTTCTACTTGCTTTCTTTTTTTCAAAACCAGTTGTGCGATATAATTGCGCGACGTTAACGCGTTGCGCCATGCGATTTCCCGCCAAAAAATCTCTACTTTCCCCTACCCCAAGAGTCCATGCGGACTACTTTCCACTACCCGGAAAGTCCGTACGGACGGACGTACGCTACGTCATAACCAAATTTTCTGAGATGGATAGTTTACCAAATTTTCTTACCCATGGTGCTCCGCTACGCGCGCGCGAAGCGCGCGCGGGAGCTCCGCTAACAATTGTGCCAAAAATGTCCTAGCTGGAAAAGTATGTTTGACATTTTTGGTGACACCATTTTCCAACAGAGTTACGCAACTTAGTGGCCGGAATAGCGGGACATCCAAATTGTCTGATCTCTAAACACCTAGCAACTTGCGTTTGCCAGTCCGGGCCACAACCAGATCTGGATATGTAATTTCCTGCAACCTGATTGGCTCGGAGCTCAACCAAAATATTGACTTGACCGCGAAAGGACTAAGCTCGACAGAAATGTCGAACAGGGAAGCTTCGACGGCATAGCTTTGGGTGGAATGTACCTTGAAGAAAAGTAACAGCAATACGGGGCCGATTAATCGAGATTATTTTATGCGTCATAGCGTTCGATTTACGAATATCGAGATGTTAATGATCGAGAACGCTTTCTGTAAACACCCGTGGATTCCTGATAATATTTCAAGAGACCAGAAACAACTCGACGACTCCGATCGAATTGGAAGAATAGGGAATTTGAATACCGCAATACATTTTAAGTGAAAAGGTTTTAAGAAGTCCTGTTTGGAGTAATTTATGCGAGCACAGCTTCGACCTGGAGAAGTCTGTTCTATTCTACTTCGGGCGCAATACCATACGCGCTAGAATCTAATTTCGATCGAAGGATTGATAATGATAATCTTAATGCTAATTATTCTGTTGCTGTATGTAAATTTCCAGTATATTGAATCGTCACACATGTTGGAAATATGCGAAGGTCAAAGAAATAAATAAAATTTGCAGAAATTGCACGCGAAGAGTCGTAAGCAGTCATTAACGAACTTCTGTCTTTGCCTACTGCAAATTGCAAAACCCCATTGCGGATGAAAATAATGCAATAATGCAAGTGGACGTATTCGTGTTCTAATAGCTGTTAAATAGTCACTGAGAGGACGTAAACATAATTTGACATTTGTATTTTGAAAAACAGCTTTGACAAATGAAGTAGATGTGCAGACTTTACTATTAATTGTTTGTGTCAAAATATTTAATAGAATGGTTTTTCACAAGACAAGAAAATATTGTATATATATATATATATATTTTTTTTTTTTTATTTATTTATTTTTTTTTTTAATTGTTCCTTTAAATTATTGTTATTAAGGGGGTGCATCAGTTGAGACGACTGATGCGGTTCTAAATCTCAAAGGAAGGAGTCACATTAGGATGCAGGGCTAGTACAGCATCACAGTAGTTTTTTTGGCATGGGAGATTTCATAATGCCATGTCTCTATTACCTAGGATATAGTAGTTTTACGGTAGATAGGAATACCACGACTGTAATATGGGTTACAGACGGATACAATTCTAGTTTAGTCACATTCTCACTTGGCATTGCAGTGGCAACATTCACTTTTATTGCACTAGCAATCATTTCCCTCCCTTCCTCCCTGTAGGATTTTATTTTGTTCTGTTCACGGACAGTGTGATCACTTTTATTATTTGATTGAGGTTGTTTTAACTCTTTTTTGGTTTGGTCTTTCTTATTTGTTGGAGCACTTTATTTTTATACTAAATGTTACCTTTTAGTTATTTACCATGTATTGTATTTTGTTATGATTAATAAAGGCTGTCTTGTATCCCAAATTAAACAATGCCTGGGTTTCTGAGTTTTGTTGATTTAGTGTAAAAACTATGCCATTATAGTAATATCCTGTCACTGTAGGTAGAATACATACACACTGAAAAACCTACTGGGCACCTGGGTCCTGTATCATACAGTCAAACCCCTCTTTATGGACACCAGCTTAATGTGGACTCCCTGTTATTATGGGAAGTTTCCTTGGTCACTGGGGAAAACCCTTAATTTTTCTCTTTATTCAACCCACTTAATACAGACTGACCTGTTAAAGTGGATAATGGACGTTTTTTTCTTCCTCTATGAACAGATTCTCATATAAAGTCAACCTCGTTAATCCGCACACTTTATAATCCATTGCGTGCTGTAGTCAACCTTTTTTTTTGTAGGGTAAAAAAACGTTTCACTTAATTGACGTCATGCCCATGTTCCCAGCATCATAGTACACCAAAATGAATGAATTGTGCACAACAATAATAGACCATTTTGACATCAATCGAGTTGGTAAATTTTACATAATTTTTGATCGATTTTCTCGAGACTTCCGTGTGTTTTCATGGACACAGTCTGCAGAATAAGAGCTTAGTGATGTTTAAAGATGTTAGGTGTGATGCTGTAGTATTTCCATAAAAAAATTGTATTTTTGACTTTTATAACAGGACCTGCTTGATATGGACACCTCCGTTATATAGACACTTACTATGGCCCCTTCAGTGTCCATGTCAATGGGGTTTGACTGTAGTTATGAAATATGGAACAGTTTTGTAAGATCGATCATTTGGTGTCCTGTTTAAAGTGTATTTTCAGCCATTCTTCACATTTTCCACCTTGCATGTCATAACCTAAGGCAAAGTAAAGTAACAAATAAATAATAAATTAAAAAAATATATGAGCAATAGAAAATACAGGCATTTTTTTGTACCTCAATCTGTGTACATTTATTTCATTGAAATGAAAGGGTTATCCAGGGATGACCAATGCTCTTATTATATTGTCAGCATTGACATTTTAATTCAGTAATCGAAAATTATGTAAGTGGGAAATTAAATTGGTTTGCACTGCTGCATACTGTCTCATGACAGTGATTAATCAACCATCATCATTTCAGTCAATATTTTTGTATTCAAAGCTATCGTATTGCCTCCTACAATGTGGGCTCGCTTGGGGCTATTCTTGTTGTTTTCACTTTTCTGAACTCGTGACAAGGCAGTCATTTAACTGCGCAACTGACTTTTGCATCTTTAAAAGCACAGCACTATGTGAAACTGCTTTGCACTACGCCAAACAGACCACTATCAACAAGCAAATTTTTTGCAGATTTCAAAAACATTTATTCCAACGGTCCAAAAAATGACACTCACCTCCTTTTTTCGATGTTTTGCTCCTTGTCGGGCATTTCTTTGAGCTGAAAAACTCTCGTGTTCGGTCGTTTTACCTCCCAAGAACGCACAAACGTTCATCGGACGGCATTTTTTCTTCACACCCCTGATTGCTCATTGTCTAAAGTCACAGCTCTCAAAGTAGTATTGGGAAAGGACACTTCTAGGCGCAGCAAAGAGCCAAGGAGTGACCTTCCCTCGTGTTTCTCGGCGTGGGCGCCATTTTGCAAATGTAGGTGACGTCATCATATATCCAGATCTGGTTGTGGCCCGGACTGTTTGCGCAAAACTCTGGCAGAATGACGTCAGGCATAGGAGTGCGAGCTGCAAAGCATGTTGTAAAATTGTGACGTATTTTTACAATATTTGGAGGAAAATTTCACTGTGATAGCATGGAATCTTAGAGAAAGGCCGGTAATAGAACACATTCACAGCTTTTCAACAGTGAAAGACGTTAGAATAATCTTTACTAAAATAGAACATTAAATTAGTTTTGGTACCTCTTTGAATAAGTCGTACTCAGTCTCGTCGTCCATATCTGGTTCCTTCACCTCTAAAAATGAGAAAAACTGAGGTGACATCTTAATGACGAAATAAAGCTGTTATATTTAAATGAATATTCAATTTCCACTTACGAAACGCGTTTTATTGAAAAAAGCGTACTGAGTATTAAAAAATAAGTAGGCTCGTATGAAGAAAAGGAGCTATGACTCGACAAAAACTGTTGCAGATCTGTTCATCTTTGTTTTGACCAGATTCGACTGACGGAAATTAGTGCTACAGTTCTAATCACTTACAAAAGTTGGAGTCTAAAGCTCCGTGCAAAAGGATGCAACAAACCCTAACATTGTGGGGCCAACAATGTTAAGAGTTGTTGCGTCCGTGTTGGCAGTGGTTAGGAAACAGATGCAACAACTCCAAACAATATTGGGACCTGCAGTGCATCGTGGAAAGAATACAACCCATAAGACTTTGTAAACATGTGTAATGCGCGTGAGTGGTCCCAGCAATGTCTGAAGAGTTGTAGAAACGGATCCAACACTGTTGCACGACTCTTCGGAACAGAATGTTGGGAGTCGTTGGCTCAAAAGTTTGACGGTTTCAAACTTTGCCCGATAACTCCCAACAACACGGAACAACACAAGATTTTTATTTAAAAAATCATACCCAAAAATCAGATACATACCACTTCCGTTGTACCTCCCACCAGAGTCACAATGGGTAATGTTAACACTGAAACTGTAATAACGGTATGGACAATAATTGGCCTGTATTCTTGTAGCAGATAAATAAGTGCCTATTTCAAATGTAAACGCCTGTTGTCTTGGTGGCCATACGAAGAGGCGCTTATAGAAATCAAAGTCTTTCAAACATCTTCTTTTGGGTACCGGGGACTGGAAACACGTTAAAAATGATTCACACCAATCTTCCACTGTTAAGTCGAACATCAACCAGGTGCCGTTTGTACCATTTTTAAGTTTAGCGCACCTTGCGTCTTTGCTAAGAGAACCAAAATATTGCCCTGAACATGGTAAGCCTACATAAAAGACAAAACTGAAAGTAAATCTTTAATAGATAAGGGGAATATCTCGAAGCCCCCAGGGAGATTACGGGGAGATTACTTCCTATCCTACAATGGCCTATAAAGGGAAACTTCGCCCGAAAAGGGTGCTTTTCAGGCTTCAGGTATATGAAAGGCTAGGGAATTTATTGATTGAGGTATGTGAAAGCAAGGGTAGGTAACTTATTGTGATCTATAAAAAGGTCCCGCAAAATGGCTAACAATGCATTTGATAACTGTGAAAAAGTCGAGAAAGCGTTATGGTTTTCTGATTTTTTCATGTTTAGAAGAGACTGAGTGCATTTACAGCAGTTAAAACAGATGCAAAGTTCTAGGTATGAGAAAGGTGTGCCATTTGTCAATAGAATGTATACGAAAGTGCTACCTTTCCTGTCTAAAAAGGTATACAAAAGGGTAATGGGTTGGACTTCTGGGAGGAGCCTCCCCGTTTGATACTTTTTTGATTACCCCAGCGGGTGAGGGGAAGGTGTCTCCAAGGAAATCTGTGGTGCAGTCCGCCTGCCAGTATGACGTCACGTCTCTCGTCAGTGACTTTCAAAGGCGAGCAAAGTGTTCATCGAAGATACGGACAAAAATTTCAATTTTATCACGGAAATACTGTTCCGATTTCTTGGTTTTGGAGATTTTAAGGTTACTATTAGACAATTGCACGATGACGTGATTATACTACAACTACCAGAATCCTTGAGTTTGTTGTTTTCTTGTGCAAATTAAGGCTATTGTTCTTTAATCCTCAGGGGATTGACAAATTTAAATAACAAAGCAAAATCGAAATGAATTCTGGTAGTTGTAGTCAAATATCGTCATCGTGCAATTGTCCTATTGTCACAAAAAAAAACTAGACTTAAGTACTTTTTTGGAATGAAATGTCCAGTGGTGGAATGAATTTTAAAGATTCCTTTCTATCGTCGAGCAAATTTTACGGGCAATCATACCGACCAGTCTCACTTTTGAGGGCCAGTGCACAGCAAGGTTGAGGATTTTAGACACAGCAATAGGAGGTTCATGAAAGGATGTATTATACTTTACATTGTGCGTATTTTCAGCTCTTCAGATCTAGCGGAACCCCATATCATTCCTCTCAAAGTTCGCTTAGCTGTAGCGTTGAAAGAGGAAGCTGAATGAAAGGTATTTGTGAACGACTGTGAGCATTGAATCGTGTCGCTTTACCGCATTTTAATATTGTATTGGGCATATACCTGTAATTCTTTAATTAAATCCCAAAAGCCAATTAAATGTTTCGTTTAATTATTTTGGGTGGCAAACGCAGTGGAGATTTTAGGGTAATGATATTGATGATGAAGACGATGTACAAAAGGCAAGTTTAACTTTCGCCAGTGGGTCACTGGTGGGTGTTGAGTGTAAACCCGAGGGGGGTACTTTAGGAATTTCTGGGTGGGGATGTGCCCCTGATACCCTGGAAACTATACCAGAGCTAGTTCAGCTGAATTTTGCTACACTATACTAGTGTAAACTCCCCAAATCCCCCCTATCCTAGAGTAACTGTTTACCAGAAACTACTGAGGTCACTAGCACAGTCTAGCCAAAACAAAACCTTATACCACAATCCCTAGTCTACATAAAATCTTCAACCAACTGATCAGTTTCCTGAAAAATAATACCCTATTCTAGACCCAAACGCTCTGATTTATATACCCTATCCTAGAGTAAACTGCTTGAAAACCATACCCTTCACAGCGGCACATACCTATATAGCCCATATATGGCAGTACCCCCCTCCACAGGAGTGTAAATTCGAGTACAGTTTGTGGTGTACTATGTGCTTTTTGTCATGATATCAACTAACATTGAAAAAAACATTCAGCTGTTTCAGGGAAGGGATGTCTTAACAGCCTATGGTTTTCATCTGGTCGTAAGCTTGGCCAGTATGCAGATCAAGAGCTTTTGAAATCCCTTAGCCAAAATAAAATTCCGGACTTAAGCTTAAAATATATATTGATCCAAATGCTTGACCAGGAGGGTCAGCAGTAAGAATAAAGAAAAAAATACCAAAAGGAAAAATACTGTTAAAAAAAGAGACCGAACAGGAAAAAAGAAAAGGGTACAAAGAAACAGAAAACAGCGTTGACGGGACTCGAACGCGGTTTATCTGCACGTGCAAGTATCTCTTTGACCACTGCACCACAGCGACACACATTTTGTCATATCAAAACAGTTTTTCTCTGCCATAGACGCTGTTTGAAGCTGGTGGAGCTGTATTTATCATAAACTCAAATACACATTTGAGGAAAATTAGCTTATTATAAAGGCGTATTTCAAAGCTATTTCGCACTATTTCGGGTTCAACGGACCGACTCGATGTAGATAATCGATCGAACTAGCTTTACCAATGATGATGTGAAGTTAGGCCCATTTAATTAGCAAAAGAATAGATGAAATATAGACATGCGTGATCTGTGAATAGAACCTTCTATTCTGGAGACTAGACCTTGCCTATTTTAGAGAAGAAAAAAATTTAAGTTTTGATGACCTTGCCGGTCCCGTGAAATAGATGGCGATCTCGCAAAGCGGTCTGCAAAGCAAATTAACGGACACAAAATATCAAACCGGTTTACCCAAGCAGATTATAGCAACACCAAAGCTCACACACATTCGATCAAATTAGCGATATATAGCGACATTTGCTAGCTTCTTAGCTTTTCCTCGACCTCGCTCGTCCACACAACTGTCGTATCCCTTGCTAATTTGCACAACCGACCCGTGGCTCTTGCCCGTTACTATGTGACGTCATACTAGCAGGCGGAGTGGGTCAAGAAACTTAGGTGGAAAACAGTAGAGTTACCTTCCCCTACCCCCCGGACTACCCCTCCACCCCGGGCTGGAGTGCTATTCCTCGGTAACCGAATCGCGACCGAGGCGCTAATTACAAGTTTATTTGAAACCAACAATCGGCGACAAAATTGTTGAGACACACCCCTCCCACAACACCCTCCCCTGTCCCCTCCATTCAAAGTTGGAATGTTTGTTGTTTTCGTCGATACCTACAGAAAAAAATCAACCAAAAAAAAAAAGATGGAAGCAAGATGCTTTTGAAGATACAGTCACACCTTTATATAACGCCCCTGTATATAGCGGTCACTCTGAATATTACGATCACCGTACAACTTCCCGAAATTTCCAGTTGCCTTATATTTTCTGCAAAGTTGACCTGTATATAGCGGTCACCCTGTATATAACGGTCACCTTGCCATTTCCCAAGGGTGACCTTTGTACACAGGTTTGACTGTAAACTCTAAAGTTTGTGAGATTCATTCCTTGAAGTGTCCTGGAGTATAAGCTCACTTTTATCACCTCATAACACATGCTAACAATGTTTTATTTCTGCGTACGTACCCCTCTGAGCGGTTTTTGATGCGCATCGATATCCTGTTGCCTTGATTTTGAATCCAAGTCGAAATGTTTTCCAGCCATATTTTATGCCGCAGTTTTTAATATAAATGTTCGTCACGTTCGAGACATTAACATCTTTTGTAGCAGTGGAGATGTCAAAATTGGACCATCGAAACCAATAAAACTTCTTATAGCAAAGCTTCCTCCAATCTGAAGTCTCGTTAAAGCACAAAGCTATGAGAGAACACCATTTCGACAGGCATCTGTACTTGTAGTAGTAGTAGTAGTAGTAAAGAAAATGACATTGCACGGCGTAGTAAGGACCAGACGTTCCATTGACAAGTGATTAACAATTTCCCTTTTCAAGTTCTTGGGATTGCAACGGCTTGGCGTTTTGCGAGCAATACCCTGCTATGCCAACAAGAAAAAACGAATAAAATTTAACGGATGTTATTAAAACAGAGAACGGTGAGCGGGAACGAGAACGAGGAACGGGAAAGTGAAGAATGGGAGCAAAAATAAAATTGGAAATGAAATGTTAGCGTTCCAATTTTTCATTTTTCCCGTTCCCCAGTGCTCGTTCCCCGTTTTATTAACATTCAAATTTAACACGGGGCTTTTTTGTTTTTTTGTTTTGTTTTGGAGCCAATCTTTGTGCTGTATCTATCCGAGCAGCCTCTTCCTCAGGCGCTTCGTTTTTCGCACTGCACAGAGGCGAGCGCGAAACGCTTGTGACTGGTAACGAAGCGTAAGGGACTATGGGAAGGTGTCGCGCCCGTTTTCTCGATCCCGCCTTCCGTTGCGCGCAAATTTTCATTAAGAAAGAGACGTTTGGGTACGAGGCAGCTGCCCGTGAAAGATTTTATTCAAACCTATACCTCCAGTGTGTTCACAATGAAACCGCCAATAAATTTGCAGAACATTGGCCAAGGAATTAATTAGCAGCTGCTGAAGGAAAGAGTCTCTGAATTAAAAGTGTTTTTAAAACAAATCGGGACAATTTCTTGGATCGAAGAAGGGCATTCGCAATCAGCTACCTGCCTTTCTTCCCTAGAACGTTCAAGTTTATTTTTTGTTGGTTGTTGTTGTTTTGTTGTTGTTGTTGTGATGGAACAATTTACGCCAAAAGCCAGAAAACAGTTTTAAGCCTGATACCTTATGTGCCCAATTATAAGTCCTTCGAGGGAAAAAATGGTTGATTAAGTTACAATTTGATCGATTGGAAACAGCCACGTGCAGACAGGATTAACATCAATTCCTTGTAAGGTCTCCAATTTGGTTTTAATGTTTTAAACAAGAAGTGCCAGCATTAAGATTAACAAAAAGGACCGCGTCGTTTGTTTAATTTTAATATCTTATTCAAATTAATTGTTTGCTTCGGGAAAAAAATTTTCTAATTTCTGTCTTTATGCTGTTTGCAAAGTTTGAGAAATAATTTTCGCTCGACAATTATGCCATGGAAATATGCACAAATAAAACTACCAAAACTTATTAATTCTACTATATTTAAAAACCATTTTTTTTTTAAAACTAAAAGTAATGACCAATATAGAGGTTGTCGGTTGTATACTGTAAAACAAAGATGTGGAGGAAAAAGGTCAATATCAGGTTTCTTTTAAGATTGGGCGGTTCGAGATATTAGAACTCTCGAACTCTTTTAATTAAAATTTAATTGAACTTGACGTAGGGGTGATTTTTTTTGAGTGGTAGATATGGTTAATTAATCTGGCCACCTGCTGGCACAAAAGCGGTACTTAGATGGGGGGTATTTCTACTTATTCGGGGTATTTCTTTTAAGAGAGTGCATAACTTACCTTCTACAGCATTTCCGAACGAAAGAACTGCGAAGTATATGTAATGAGAGAAATACATATGGTTTAATTAAAACAGTTGTCCTTAATTTGGCAGTAATAAATTATTGTCGTAAGATCTTACAGACGGAAAGTGCAGATAGTTACAAAATTCGCATGGGAATCAGATGCAGAGATGCGACGCTAAAGGGCCAAAGAAGATTGAAGGTATTTCTTCAATTAGCGGCGTCGTCTCGGCAGGTTAGTTTGAAAATTTCGGCGCTAGCACGTATGAATGTCAGAATGAAAATAACCTTTTAACTGCCTCCAAAACGATTCTTATCAATGACATAGTCAACAGCGGGGTGTTACAAACCACTCTTATCTTGAAGGACACTGGGTTTAGTACTATTTTGCTTCGCTGTTTCATAATTCCTCCAGTAATTTGAAACTTTCTTTAATTTCAAGTCAAGAATGTTGGAAAATAAAATATTAATTAAAAAAGCGTGCGTAAGAAATACTTTTTATTATAAATGCCATGCAAAAGGAAGCAAAAGAAAAGAATAAAGTTCGCTACGCTTTTTTGAAGAAGTGTCGTATTGGTAATTCATGGGTAGAAGTAACCAAAAACTACTCAGTGTAAAATTATTGCGTCATACTCACTCAAAACAAGCCCAATGATTATTGTTCCATTTGCAGTTTCATCGTCAAGGAAGGATAGATTCAGCTCAGATTTTTTCGTACGTGGATTCATCATTGAACCTAGGAAGGTTAGAAATTTCCTTCTTTCCTCGATTAATTGATTCGAGGTGTTAATAACAAAGCCAACTGTTAAGTAGCCCAGTCTTCGCCAGTACTTGCCTTCCGTATCACCCAGATGGCAATTAAGTTATTGTCTTGTCATGCCTTTATGTTGACTTTGCCAGCTGTCGTTATGGAAACCATGTTGAAAGGAAAATAAAATAATTAAGTACCGTACCAAATATGGTTGTGGCTCCATAAAATGGTTCCTATAGTCTAACATATACACATTTAAATGAGAAATTAAAAAGACATATTAGTTGAATATTTCTCCAGAAAGCCTAATTTACTAAATTACACCTTGGTTCGTAGATTGTGTTAGTTTTCATTTCAAATGTTCTCAGTTATAGTGAGAAAAACCACGACAAAAAATTAAGTTGCGCTATTTATTTCCTAAGGTTCGTGGCGGGTGTAATTGAAGTATATGTGTGTGATATCGATGTGAATGAATAACGCTGGCTGCAGAGAGAAGAAGAAAAATAAATATACTGCAGTTGCAAACGTCTTACTGCCTGATGCAGTATAGAGAATTCTTGTGTGAATGACAAAATCAACGATTTCAGCAAGAGAATTGAAGAAGCAAACGTTGAAAGCAATTTACATGAGTAAATAAATAAATGGTCCAAAAAGGTTTTCAAAGAAAAGGTGATGCCAATATAAGTTAAAGAAAAAAAATCACTCTCACTGCAAAGTTTTCAAAATGATGGTCACTAGATGTGGAAAGAAGTCGTTTTATAAAAAAGCATGAAATCGTGCGTTATGACCATTAACAAATTTTAATCAGCGAACGACCTAAAAAGTAAAGACGAATTTAATAGAACAACTTAAACAGATTTCATTCAGTTTCATTTCTCAAAATTGTTTTTTGTTTACTTTAAGACAAAATCCATCAGGAAATTGAGAAATTTTAATTTTCAGTGGACAGAAACCTTTTACCAGAATAATTTCAAGCATATTGCATTCTTTTTCACACTTTTCGAGGGCCATAAATGTAATAAGTTGTATGAAATAACTCCGAAGAAAAGGTTCTTATTGGAGCCCTCTGAAACTTAAAATTATTCAATTTCTTAATGGATTCCATCTTAACACTTTCAACTGGTCGCAATAGGCCAGGAGACGAAAGCGGAGGTTTTGACAAATTTATTCACGAACCGAAGAAATTTTATTTTCCTCATGCTTTCAGTCTAAATATAGTTTTAGAAAGTAACTTCCGAGTAATGAGCGCTCGAGAATTTCTAGATTTATTGTTATTATTGTAAAACTGTATGTTGTTGCAAAGCAGTGTATATAGCCTCATATAAGGTAAATTGGATTCCGGAATCTGAGAAAGTTTGACTGTGAAATCTGGAATCCTGGGCTTTGAAATCCGGAATCCCGCTGACAATTGAGATGCGGAGTCCAAGTTTTACTAAGATAGAATCGAGAATTCAGTACCTGAAATTCGGAATTTCACAAAATTCTACACTTAGAAAGAGAAAAGGTCAAGAAGGGCTTCGAGAAGTCCGCAAATTTTGAAAAAATCGCAAAAGTAACAAGAATTTTTCCTGCTACGTGAAAAGATGGAGCAACAAATATGGCAAAAATAGCAAGAATAACAAATTTCACAAAATGCTACACTTAGGAAGAGAAAAGGTCAAGAAGGGCTTTGAGATGTCCGCAAATTTCGCAAAAATCGCAAAACTAACAAGAATTTTTCATGCTATGTGAAAAGATTGGGCAACAAATATGGCAAAAATAACAAGAATAACAAATTTCACAAAATTCTACACTTAGAAAGAGAAAAGGGCAAGGAGAGCCTCGAAATATGGCAAAATGCCACAAACTGGCTAGAGTAACAAGAATAGGCAAGAATTGTTGACGGGCAAGAAAGGAGCCAAGAACACCCGCGCATCACTGTTTTTGCCCAATACTAATGGTTATCTCAACAGGAATACGTTGTTGTCCAGTTTTGTAATGCGTTCCATTTTCGCGAAAATGAAATCATCAGTTACAAACGTGACACCATTTATAATTACTGACAGTAGCAAAATACTGTAATATGAATCTGTGTATGCTTCGTTCTTCCATCAACATACAGCTACAATGCATAGAAAGGAGTGTCGCTCACAGAAGGGGGCAAATTTTAAGCAATAAAAGGGGGTGGTAGCAGAACTTTTCATGGCTAAGAACCCACCATAACGATCCTTCCAAAATATCAAGAATGGCAGATTGGGGGGAAAAGAAAACGGGTCATAAGATCCTCGCATTATACATAAATGTTGCAGTGCAATACCCATAGTTTGTTAAACAGGGATTGCCGAAAGTAACAAGGGATATTTGTCATGGATGTTTTCAGCTAGCAAGAAAAATCCTTGTTACTTTAGCGATATTTGCGGACGTTTCGGGGCCCTTCTTGGTTTCTCCTATTTCTAAGTCTATATAGAATTTTGTTACATTTGTTATTTTTGCGATCTTTGCGATATTTGTCAAGGGAGTTTTTAGCTGGCAAGAAAAATCCTTGTTACTTCTGCGACTTTTGCGATATTTGCAGACATTTCGGGGCCCTTCTTGGCTTCTTCTTTTCCTAAGTCTTGATTCTTGTTAGATTTGTTATTTTTGCGATTTTTGCGATATTTGCGGACATTTCGTGGCTCTTCTTGGCTTCTTCTCTTTCAAAGTCTTCATTCTTGTTGGATTTGTTATTCTTGCGATTTTTGCGATATTTGTAAGTGATTTTCTGACATAATTTCTCCTCAATTATTTCTTTTGCGACAATTGCGAAAAAAAATTGCATGCTAGCAAATAGATTGGGGACAAGGGATGTTTTTATTCGAATAAAGATGGTATTGTTTCTGTACGCTCTCGTATTTTGCGATCAACTACCACCAATAAAACTACTGAGCATATTTAGGGGGGTAGGGGTTATTTAAGGATGAAGGCTTATAGTTCAAAATTCCCGAGAGCCAGCTATTGCTGCGGGTTCTGGATAATCAAACAGTGTGACACGAAGTGCACACAGCGTTGTAGGGCAAATGTTACAGAAAAATTTTGCGAGTTCCGTTGACTGAGAGAAGGGTGAATGTCTCCATAAGCAATGAGCTGAAAGCCACAAAAAGGATGGTTGCTGTACACAGATTACGTATATAGGCGTGAGGAGTGTTTTTGGTATAAATGCGCTCAAGTTACTTGATGTACCTATACCAGCAATACATTTACATTTCATTTTATTTATTATCTAATATTTAGACGACATACATTTTATTGTTTTTTGTTGTTGTTGTTGTTTTTTTTTTTTTTTTTTTTTTCAATTTTCAATTTTTATTATTCACACTATTATAAAATATTTACATTATATATAGTAAGGTAGGAATACACTAATAAAGGAGAAGAAGAAGGGAAAAAAAGAAAATTAATGGCTTGGGTAGAAGTGAACGGTGGTCAGAGGAGCTGAGCTTTCGAGCTAACCACCGCTAACCACCGCTAACCACCGCTTCCAGACGCAAAAAATAAAAGACAAAAGTACTAGAAAAGCAAAATATCAAAGTGCGTAAAGGAAATATTACCTAAGTAGTAAAACAAAATTCAATTTTGTTGCATTTTTTCCCGTAGAAACCTGCTTTCTTCTAGTACCCGCAACGCCGTGTAATGGGCAAAAAAGGGAGGTTCCATACATTTAGCACTTCTTAAGTGATTTTTTTATTCATGTGGTGACTAAAAATTGTAATTTTAATTTAGATAACTGTGCAATTATCAATTGCTTTCTACCTGCTATGCATTCTACAATAGATGGTTTGACAGAAATACAAATGTAGACAATGATTACATCTTATAGTGATCTTTAGCTAAATTGATCATAAATATAACAATTAATTGTTTTTTTCTTAGCTTCCCGAGTGATATTTTTGCCTAAACTTCGTTAGTGTTTATCTCGAGATCTACTTTGTCCCTCAGAATAAACATGGTTGATGAAAACTACTCTCTGCTATTTTTCTGCGCGTATTACACCTTAGGTGCACTCTCCAAGGTAACAAACATGTAGTTATAATTGAATTTGGAGCTGTTGGGGACCTGTGACGTCATAATTTTATATCGGCCACCATCTTGAAATGTAAAGAGAAATTTCGATTCATGCATTCAAATCAGAGTTTGCAATCTAAGCATTTCTTGTTCTCAGGTTCTAAAGCATTTTTTTACAGCGCTTTTCACAAACACGCAAACTCTAAAGTACAAAAGCCGGCTTCACAATTGCGTTTTTCAATCATAATTACGATCACATGTAGGGAAATCTCTATTCCTCATTAGCTCGTCTTCTCGGAGATTTTCCCGCCACAGTCACTCCTCTCGAGTAATGTACAAATTTTAAATTCAATGTTAATTAACCTATTTATTATCGTTTTTATTCTGCTTGTAATTCATTGTGTGTGGCAAAATAATAAATAAATAAAAATCACAAGCAACGAACCTTGAAACCCAGACACACACAAAACGGATCGAAATCCACCAATCACAGATCACAAACTTTGACCTATTGAACAGGCCGTGAAAGTTCTGTTTCCTAAGAGGTCCGTTGAGAGGATTGACGGCAGCACGCAAACGTCAGTTGGCTTTTGAAATTCAGAGTTCGCCTGCTTTTGAAAAGCGCAGTAATTAAAATTGCCTTTCTTTGGTAACGTTTCATAAGTTTTTTCAAAGTTCGGATTTATAACTTAAAAGGGGCCTCCCAGGCCTGCCGCCCAGGAGCCAGTGCCTAGGTACCGGCACAAAACAGTCAGGTGTTCACACCTTGAGTACAATACAAGTCTCCACCTTGTACTCGCGTACTGGCACCATGCTTGAATTCTAGTATGGGTACTTTGAACAAAGGGTATGTTCACTTTAGAAGAAAAGAATAAAACTTATACATGTACATAACATACGGCTGTTTACAAATTCTCTGCTGAAAACTTATACATAACATAATTACGGCTAGTTCCAAATGGTTTAAATTCGCCGTGTTGCTACTAAAACGATTATAAAAAAAGATAAGCTTGTGGTCCACGGCAAGTAGAGTGCTCCTTTCCTTTCTTTGCTGGTTCGCATATCTTGGTAACAAACTGAGTTTTCTGCTTAAGCTGTGATGGAGATATACACTACAATCATGGTGATTTCACTAGGCTCTCGGTACTTATGGGCATAACTTCAATTTTTCGCAGGGAAAGGATTCCGCTGCTGCTGCCATTGAGGTCAGAGTGTCTTTTAACGCTTGTAGTTCCATTGCTGGCAGCTGGAAATATCACGCGTATTCTTCTTTTGAACCTCTCTCTGATCTGCGGGATAATCAAAGACAATTAATTCAAAGATCGCTCCCTGCCAAGTCCGTAAGGAAGTTTGGACGGACGGACGTACGCTGACGTCATAACCAAATTTTCTCGTATCGATCGATAGATTTCCATTTTCTATAGCAGTAGAGGCTCCGCCACCCGCGCGCGGAGGTTCCGCTATCAACTGTCTCTGGTGCTATTGGTGTTTTTGGGTCATGAGAACTTTCCGTAATAAACAGGTGTTCGTAATCGAGGGGTTTGATCGTAAATTCCTTGTGATTTTGGTTCTGTGTTTGGATCCGAGTTACTAAAAACATTGCTTAACTTATAATTCGGCAACACGAGATGATAAAATTTGCAATCATTTAACATTTTGTCCTTACCTCACTATTTCTCACACAGTGAAGAAGAAAGATGGAAAATCCCTGCGGGTAGGAAAATAAGAAAGACTGTCACCAAAGTTTTCCAAAAAATGTACTTATATAATCCTTGGCCATCTTCAGTGAAATAATTTCGAGCTTTGCCTTATCTTCTTTTAATTTCTTGACTTTGATTTGTGATTAAGTATTTGCTTTTTAAGCTAAAAAATAGGTGCGCAAAGATTGGGGCTCGCATCTCACCTGAGTGGAATTGAAGATAACAAAAATGTAAGCGAATGCTTTGTGGGCTGACGATAATGCGCCGAATAACCACGTGACCCCAAGTAAGGGAATTAGCACCACGCAAGCTCTGATTCCAAGTCTGCAAAATAAATAAGATATTCAATTAAATATACATAAATCTCGAAGATAAACAGACGAATCGTTGTTTCCAACGTCCCAACTTTTTTAGCCTTGCCCGCCATCAGTGGAATGCCGATGGTGTTGTTGCAGCTAAATCATTGTGTCGTCAATTAAAAACGAAGGGAACACAATATAGCAGTTTGAGTAGTGATAATGTAATGACATGACCACTTAACGACCAAACAATGTTTTGTTCTCAAAAGGAATCTTTGCTTCATTCAAGCCGGGCGTGTAACAAATACAGTATATTACATGTACTTACACATGTCTATTAAAACAAGCAATAAAATCTGTGAGACCTTATCTGTTCTCCTTGGTTGTCCTTTGTTTGTTCCATTCTTGTCATTTCTCTTATAACTCTCAACAAAATCAACAAGTTTATCTGCAAAAAATAACAGAGTTGAGAAATTAGAAAACCTAAATTGGAATATCAGAACACCGCCCACGTGATGGTGACTGAGGTAATCTTTGTCGTTAAAACAAATCCTTTAAACCACTTTCTTTGTTTTTCTTTTAGTGCGTTTTTGTGTCACTATTTTTTTTATCAGATTAAAAAAAAATACTGAGTGAACTTACGATCTCAATCGCAAGAACAAACGAGATGAATATCCAGATCAATCCGTTAGAAGAAGAAATCCAGCAGCTAAAACGAAAACAAAATAAATTATATAATCTGCCAGTGTGTGTGCGTGTTGGAAATCAAAAGGACAAATGTTAACTGATATATCTATTCTCATATACGAACATTCACCCAAGGAAAATGAAACTTCATTCGCACTAAAGAATATTGTTTTCGATAAACTGCTATAGAAATTGGCCTTACTTATGAAAAAATCCTTAATGACTATGCTGCAAAATCAAATGTTTGCTCTCTTGGCGAAACTGTTGATATAAATTTATTAAAATCAATAATATTTACACGTTTATACTACTACATGAGAAATTTGTGCAAGTTGATTGGCTTATATTAGAGCAGTGGTATTTCAGCTTAACTCGAAATACCTACATGTGAAAATTACAAACCTTTTGGGGGTAGTAGTATAAACAAATAATAGCATGATTTGTACGTGATATTTGGCAAAAATACCACTCGTGATATTTCAAAGAAGTCTCAAATTTCACTCTCCTAACGGCTCGTGAAATAACGTACAACAATTTCGAAATATCACAACAAATCATGCCATTACCTATACTAATAAAAATTTATTTCCCCGTAACGAAGCGCAAATGGTGTATATACGAGAAAGGGTATGGGTAGTTCACTCTTACAGGTAAACGAAAACGATGTATCTTTACGTATTCTACTTTTCAGCACTTCACTTCTTACTATTCATCGCTAACAAAACTTGTGATTCCGTCCATTCCGGCAGCAACACTAAGCGATAAAGTGACCATTGCCGCAGGAAAGCCTGAAATAAAAAGTGTGGCGGGAGGAGTGCAATTATAAAATTTACATGAACATTCAAAATATTAATTCGGGTTTAACGCATAAACTCAAAAGTGCGAACATCACTCTACATACACTGAATAACAAGCATGAAACTTCAAACACACGTTGAGGTATTCGCGAGGAGAATTGTTGCCAGCTATAAGGTGAAACATCGATAACATTAGAATGTCGTTTATGCAAAGGTCGTCAGAAAATGAGTTTCAGGGATTTATCACGAACAAAATTTGACAATTGGGTCTGTCAATTTGGCTTCTTCGATAAAATTTAATTGAAACGTTGACGCTATTGTGTTCCTTTTTTCGCCGTTACATTCAGTCTTACGTCCGACACTAGTTTCATCCTCGTCTTTGCCCAAACTTTGAGAAATTAAAATGCAAATTTATCCCTTTACACTTACCCCATGATATTCCGTGACAAATTTTCATCTTACTGCTAACGTTGTAAACTTTGACAACAAACAAGTAAAGATAAATTCCCTCCATTAACATCCAACAGAAAGCCGCCATAAGGAAATATTGAATCAGGGCCGCTGTTGTCACACAGACGCCCTGCAAAGTACAACATATAGTCAAAACTCGCATACTGGAAGGACAATGTTATCACCTTGTACCTTTAGTTTCCAGGACGAAAAATTCTAGGAAAACACCCTGGAAAGCTTCAATACTTAGATTGACCAGGGTTCAACTTTTATAAGTGTAATTCACAAGCGTAGCCATTAATGTTTTAGAGTCTGAAAACAATAGCTACACTTGTAAAATTAATGCACTTGTAAAAGTTCTATTAAATTGACCTCAGGTAATTTTTAAAACCCCATCTTGCCCTATGTTTCCATGTTAGTAATAGTAAATGGAATCCACAAGATTAAAACGTCAGACATTTAAAGTACAATATATGGACTGAATTTGTCACCCTAGGGCCTTTTTACATGGAGGTGGAGGACCCCAAATAGGTGAGGTAACCCGCTTTGGTGGGGAAACCCGCCTGTCCATACAACCTCTCATATTCATTTGATCGCTCTTACATGATAAGTGGAATGACCATGTGAGAAATTATATGGACAGGTCGGTTACCCCACCATAGCAGGTTACCTCACCTACCTAGGGCTCCCCACCTCCATGTAAACAGTCCCTTAGAAACGAGAAGGAAAGTGGAGCAGATATGCAACCCGGAATTGTCTCTGGGATCCTTAATAGGGACTTTAAGATCCAACGATGCCAGGGCAACGAGAACGTCTCGTAAAAAGTAAATTTGCGTTCTTTCAGTTTTTTATAGCGATTATTTTTACCCGCTTACTTTGTCAAATGTAGGCAAACCCTCCTGAAGTTGAATTCCAAGGGACCATATCCAAGTTCAGAAAGAGAAATAAAATTTCGCCGTTACTTGTTTACGTTCTCCATAAAACACGAAATTACGCATTTTCACGTCGTAGTCGTGCAAAAACGGCAAGAGAAATGTAAAAAAAGTGTGATGCACGAGCAAAATTGTTTCTCGTTGCGGTCTCGTTGTTAGATTTTAATGTCCCTTATAAATACTGGGAACGCACCGGTCAGATATTGGCCTTTTTTCCGTGTTACTAGTAACAGTCCCAAGTCTTTGCGAAAGTTAGTCCGGCCTATTTCACTTCTCGTTGCTTAAGTGACGAATTGACCACTACAGAAAATGCCATAACACACCATAATACTTCTTGCTGGTCACTCCAAAATTTTGCATAAGCCTTGTCTTCAGTTTCTCTTGGGAGTTAAAATGGCCCCACGACGGAAACTGCAAACAATGCTTATGCAAACTTTTGGAGTGACTAACGAAGAGTATTATGGTATATTAGGGTATTTTCTGTAGTGGTCAATCGGCTAAAGTGATTATGATCAGCGCTTAAACGAGTTCTCACCTTGTTTTCAGTCGCTCCAATGCCTGCGAGGAAGATTATTTGGCCCACTCCAAGGGAAGCGACAAGACTTATCCGGATTTGTGACAGTGGTGCTTTAATATCGCTGTGTAAAGATAAACAACTACATTGTCTTCAACAAAACCACTCTGGGTGAGTCTAACAAAGAAATGTCTCTAAATGTGTATTATAACAATGCAACGCAATAGAGCGTCTTTCATTCACGTGACCAGCGTCTATGCAAATTTATTTGAACAAAAGAAAGTGTTTACATAAGAAAAGAGTTCAACTCACACAAGAATGGTTTGGAACACCAACATGGCCGCCGTTTTATAGTTTTTATTGTTCTTTTTTTTTTTTTAATGGCCTCCGTTACGTCATATGAAAACGCTCTATACAAAACAAATTATCATACAATACAATGCAATTCAATTCAATACAGTAAAATACAATGCAATACGATACACTAACCTACAATGCAATGTTACACAATACAATACAAAGCATTCATTAGAATAAAGTACAAGACAAGACAAGATAAGATATAATGAGATAAGAAAAGATAAGATAAGAAAAATTAAAGACTGAGAAGGGAAAACGTTCAAAATTTGGGCTTAAGGAGCCGTGTTGAAACACTTGATTATGTTTTAAAAAGATGTTACATGTACTTACGTCAGAAATGTGTAGCAGATTACTGTCGCTATGATTCCGATTAAGGAAAGGGTAAGACCCAAGTAGGTCAGAATATTCAGCACCTTTTCATCTTTCTACATACAAAACAACCGGAAAACCATTTAATCTCCACCGTACCAGACAGCTGCATGAATGGATGTTGGCCTTACATGCAGGCTAATTTTGTTCTCAAGAGCCCGACATGCTTTCGAGCAGCTGGCACACAGGCTAATTTTTCTCCGAATTTGTTCTCAAAAACATTTTGAGCTATAACCTCTTTCTTTTGTAAGATCTGTTCACTTTTACTCAGATATTTTCAGGACAAAATATAAGTGATATTCTCCTTCAGTACGGTTAGGAGATTAAACTTCACACATGCAGTGAAACCGGGTCATTTGATGATTTTGGCGGGCATTTCGATTTTTAACAAAAAGTGTCCTCATAAACACGCTTATCAAAACACCACTATTACACAATAAAACGATAATTTCCTAGGCACAACTATTTATTCTTAGGCTGCATAACAGGCGTTATTGGGGTGCTCAGGCCGGTTTTAAGCCGCCAGTACGAGGCGTTAGACAAGAGAGAGGAGGGAAAAGAGAGAAATATTGCCTCTCTCTCAGCCAATAGAAACCAGCTTTCGCCAGATGAACGTTTGGAAGAGAGGAACAATAACCTGTCTACAGGCGTTATTTTTCTCTTTTCCTCCCTCTCTCTTGTCTTCCACTCAGATTTGCTCCCCGAAACCCGCCTGAGTGACCCCAATAACGCGTGTTGTATAACAACATGATTAATCGACTAGACAACCTAAACACATGGTCTGGAAGGATACTGCCGGGATGCGGGATCTTAACAATATACAGTGCAGGATTCGGGAAAACGTTGATAGGATTCGAGATTTGACGGGAAGCAGATAGTAAGAAAGTAGAGGATGTAGACCCCGATGGTGTGGCCAGCCTTTCCTCAGTGTCTGGAAGGGTATTTCCGGGAAACAGGATCTCAACCAAATACAGTGCAAAATTTGGGAAAACGTTGACGGGACACGGAATGTGACTGCCAGACGAGAAGTAAGATAAGCTGAAATTTAGCCACGGATGCGAGTTTGGAAAAAAATGATATTCGAAATAGCGATGAAAAAAGTTTGGGATGTGCGTTCAGGATCCTCCTTTCCAGACCCAACAAACTTACTTCTGTTCTTTCTGTCTTGTGCCCTACCTTTTGCAGTCTACTGTATTGGCCAGTTTTCAGTTCGGAATCTGTGTCAAACTGCATTAGAACTGCGAAGTGAGTTAAGTGATTGCAGCTGCATTCTGTCCTGGAGTCATTCAACCATTTGACATGACATCCTCGTCCTGACCAACCTACAGGGCTTCACGAACAATAAAATAAGTCACCAGCACAACCAGGCAACTTTTTTACTTTTAAGAGTAAAAACTGCCGTTTTCGACCTTGCCGTTCATTTTCAAAGCCAGAGGACTGGGTTTGAAAATGCTCCAACCAAAAGGAGACGGAGTACTTCGATATCCCAGCTTCCAATATTGGATCCGCTGTTAAAACTCGCCCTCCGCCGGTACACCATTTATTCAATTTCTCTTCCACCCTTACATTCCTAGCATTTAATGTGCCACCCTCCCTAGAGCTTTACAAGGATACGCGATATACGTATTTCTAGTTCCTAACTGGGACAGTTCACTAGCTAACTAAAGTGTGGAACACAACAATCCCGTGTCATGTCATATCATCTCATCCTGTCCTGTCTTATCACATTAAGGTGCTAACTAAAGCTGTGACAGACTTCGCGGGATAGATTATTTTGTATCTAGGGAAGCGGCGTGGACAACTGTCGGCAAGCTTTAAGAAGAACTCGGATATAAATCTCCTCCTAGCAAAAGCTGGATTTGAAGTTTCTCGGCCACCCCGAGTTCAACTCCTCCCCCGTGCTTGTAAAAAGCGAACTGGTTGCTTCTTGACAGACCTTACAGCTGGGGTTTTTAATCCTTTTAGTTCTATTTAACTTGTAGCCTGAGAAAACAGCCGACATTTGGCGACGCTAAGTGGTTTCGCCACCAAATGACGTGTGAGAAACGAGCGCAGAAATTCCATAGTGCTTCTGATTGATTGAATCATATTTCCCACGCGGTGCGACCAATCAGAAGCACTACCCAGTTCTGGGTAGTGACGCGTCATCAGTAAGGAATTTCTGCGCTCGTTTCTCAGACGTCATTTGGCGGATGAACCAGTGGTAGCGTCCCCAAATGTAGGCTGTTTTCTCAGGCTATTTAACTTGAATTGTTTGCCGTTTCTTCGTATTTACGTGTACCGTCTGTAAAACAGATGACGTGCATTTCCACCGTAGTTAAACCATTTACGATTTCCCATCTACTTCTTCCCCAAATTATAAGTCGGCACTTGTTACGCTACAGTGGCTTACGAAGATTTGAATTTCGCGGTCGATGATCTGGCTACGCATCGGTAATCGCAACCTTTGTTTCGCGAATAATAAAGGCACTTTACCTTAAACAATAAAAAAGACCTTAAAAGGACCGAAAACCCCTGTCATTGTTAACCCAAAATTGCAATCCAAAGTTTGATACGAATAGGCATGAACCACTTTAGAAACGAGAAGTAAACAAGAGCGGAAATGCATCCCGCAATTGTTTCTGGGATTGTTATTGGAGACGCACCGGTCAGCTATTGGCCAATTGTTTTTCCCTGTTTGAAGAACAGTAACAGAAGCCTTTGCTAAAAGTTAGCTCGTCCCAGTTTCTTTCCCTTTCTAAAGTGGCGAATTTTCTTTTATACAATTACCGTCGGCACCTGCTGTTCAATTTACCTGTCTTCCATAAAGTTCCAAAATACACACTCTCTTTTCCTTGTTGCCTTCTAAAATCGAAAATGAAACGAATCTTGTTATGATTTTCAGTACATCTCAGTTTAGCTCGTCAAAAAGTGGCATCAGGTTTTAAAATACTGGATATTCCTCTAAGACTGAAGAGGTTAATGTGATGAAGTTCCAACAAAAGGGGTTTTGTTGATTCATACGAGCCTAAGAATTTGTTAGGGTAAGTCCAGAGCAAAAAAAATGTATTGGCTTAAGGATTTATTTAATTAATGGCCATGTCAGTACGTATTGTCAGTCACTATCTCGTAGATATCCAGGTATCCGAATAATTAGATAACCTAGGAAGTTTCTTGTTTAGGAAAAGCTTACCATTACGTTCGAGAACACAAGAGTGACGTTTCGCTGCAACGTTGAAGGATGAGGATTAATTGTTGCTGACATGATCATCGTGTTGAGACTCTTGCTGAAAAGCAGAGGAAATAAAGGAACTTAAAAGTCACTGAAGAAATTCACTTTTTCTAAAAAGCATAAAGAGAGATTATTATAGGTCCATAGGCGAAAAACGTTAAGACCTGGTATCTCTCCCTAGGTTAACGTAGCAATGTGAGTTGACGGTTAAGAATATGCCCGAATAAAAAACCATTCTGTAACACGGATTCCATTTTAATGCTGGTTTGTATATACAATAGGGTGGAGAATAGTGTCCTTTCGTAAGGAAAACCTCACTTTGGAACAGAGTTTGGACAGAAAATGTGCACAAACATATCAATTCTTTAAAGACCTCAAGAAACCTACAGTTAAAAGTCTTAGAACAAGAAGAACGTACGACAATGGACCCCGACATTAAATATTTTGCAGCTAGCTAGACATAGCTTGCTTGTACTCTCAAGTGTTCCCAAACCTAGTTAGACTAGCTAGTACTGACCTTGTTTTGTTAATCATTGTATTCGTTTCGTTTACGAGAAACAGTTCTTGGAGTCTTTTATAGATGACACCTACAAAAATTGAACCTGAAAAAAAAAACGATCCACACTTACGTGAAAACGACAAAATCACGGCTTTAAACATGTTTGAACTGTTTTCTCAATTTTCTCCCTAAGTTACCAGGATAAAATCATAAAAAAGGTTATATAAAAACTGAACTAATTCTGTAAGAAAATGTATGAAGATCAGTTTAAGGGATTTGTATATCAACATCGCAGGTAGCACAAGAGTAAATATCTCCTCCGGGACGAAAACGGAGGCCGTTATAGTAGAAACCAGCTGTGAAGCGTTTTCTCTCACATTGACGGCGGCTGTTTTAGTTACTACTGGGATAGCGAATTTGCTTGCATACCGTTACGACTGAAATCTTCTGAAGGAATTTTGATGTAGTTTTGTCCTTCTGGTTCAAAGAGATCAAATTGGCTCCCGTTGTCGTAGACTCCTTTTCTGACCTGTAAAGCTATTATACAATAACTTTAGTAAAGTGCAGAGAATTTATGCAATTGAAATTATTCTTACCGTCTGTTAAACTCCTTTTTCGAAACCTTCACCGTAGTTTTAACCCTGCAATTACAACTACATAATTTGCTCTTTTCACTCATGACCACCCCAGGGGAGTAAAAGCGATTCGAGTGCAAAAGTTAAGAGTTAATTCCTGAACACCATAAATGGAGGACCAAAATCTTTAATTTATGACGTAAATGAGACGAACGCTTAAGCCCCTCCACTTTTCATATGGAAGTCCTCCCGTGAATTAAGACGGTAAAGGGCCCCTTTTTTTCTTGCCCCGAAATTCTTTAGACAGTAAATAGTACAGCTAGCTTTTTTCGCTGGCTCACGCTGGCGGTTCAATAGCCAAAATTTTCCCAGAACTACCACAAGTGAGCCTGAGCCCATTCTCCGTCGATTGCAACCGTTCCTTGTGTCGTCACGCATTTCTTCTACCTTTGGATAGTGGGTTTATAGAAGATCCATTGGTCTAAAAGCCCTTAGACACCTTATGAAGTTTACATGATGAGGTATTTCTTACATCTCTAAAAGGCAGTCAATGGTTTCTGTGTAACCTGGCTAGGTAGCACTAAGTTTTTTCTCCTTCCCCACATGCATGGTTCCACGCCCGCACACAGACTCCTTAAAAACCAATCGCCTCCTATTTCTTATCTAATCTCCAAGCAAGCTCGAGTTAACGATTTTTTAGAGTGTCTTGTTTCCTAAAAATTGCATTTCCTCTTTGTCGATGAGAATTTTTCACGAATGTTTTTATCAAAATATTACCGATGGTTTCATATTCTATTTTCCCTTACTGTGATGACCTAGTGGAAACCATTAATTAATCTTCTTCACTATACATGAACATGCTTTTGGGTTGTAACTTGTAAATGGCAAGACAGCAAAATGTAGAAGTCGCAATGGAAAGACAACAAAATGTAAGTTTTTAGAAGTCACAGAACATTTAAAATATTGACCGTATTCACTCAGGTAGTCAGTAGCTATGGAAATATCTTGGAACAAAGAAATTAAAAGTTTCTACTTGAGAAGAGAGTTTAATCCCCAAAGGATTATCTTGTTGCACCAACATGGCCGATATTTCATTTTTTTGTACACAACATGGCCTCCATAATGTCAGGAGGAAATGATCGATACCAAATACTTACCTATATTTTGGTTGTTCATTGAGAGATGAGCTGTATTGTTGACGAGGTGATACTGACCAAATCTTAATGCAAATTCCTCGAAAGTGAGAGTAGCCGTCAGCACTTCCTCCATCTTTTGTTCCACTGTTTTATTCAGACGTCTACTGCCAACTGATGTACGATTGGCGTATTCTTTCATATAATCATCGAAAACCTTAACAGCTTCCTAAGTAAAGAAACCGCAAAAAAAGCCAAGAATTCAGTCTTCGAAAATATATTATTATCGGGGTTAGTCTTTTAGAGAGGTCTCTAGGTGGAAGATCCCGGGAAAGGGTAAGTCCAGACCCTCTCTAATCGCATCTATCTGATCAAACGCTAAAGTACTCATGCTGTATGGAAAAAGAAGTAATAAAATCATTATACAGTAATTTTCAATTACCTGCAAAGAGTCGTTCTTTTGAAAGTCAAGTTTATTGAATGCATTTGTCATCTAGGAAAGTAAAAGCAAACGGCCGTATTAATCGGAAATACATGACTAAAAAAGTAACAATTGGAAGAAAACATTCAAACCTTCGCAAAAACCGCTAAACATTTCAAAGCTAATTTTTGACAGTTGTCAGATGCAGTACCCTTAGTGTTGTTTAAACTGAGTCAGAAATTATTAAATAAAGTGATTGTAAGTCTTTTCTACGTAAAAGTAAGGATAAAAAAGTAACAATCACTACAAATACACACGTCTTCTAAAATGATTGAGGTCCAACCTAGCACAGATCTTAAGTAACAATTGTGTAAAAAATGTTCTAGCTGGAAAAGTATGTTTGACATTTTTGGTGACACCATTTTCCAACAGAGTTACGCAACTTAAGTGGCCGGGATAGCGGGACATCCAAATTGCCTGAGCCCTAAACAGCTAGCAACTTGCGTTTGCGCAAACTCTGACAGAATGATGCCAGGCATAGGAGTGTAAGCTGCAAAACATGTTACACAATGGCGACTAACTGTGACGTATTTTTACAAAACTTGGAGGAGAATTTCACTGTGATAGCATGGAATCTTAGCGAAAGACCGGTAATAAAACAAATTCACAGCTTTTCAACAGTGAAAGACGTTAGAATAATCTTTACTAAAATAGACCTTTAAATTGGTTTGTTTTGGTACCTCTTTGATTAAGTCGTACTCAGTCTCGTCGTCCATATCATCAACATCTGGTTCCATCACGGCTAAAAATGAGGAAAAAGGTTACATCTTAAAGACGAAATAAAGCTGTTATATTTAAATGAGTATTCAATTTCCACTTACGAAACGCGTTTTATTTAAAAAAAAAAACGCCTACTGAGTATTAAAACGTAAGTAGGCTCCTATGAAAAAAAGGAGCCATGATTCGACAAAAACTGTTGCAGATCTGTTCATCTTTTTTTTTTACCAGATTCGACTGACGGAAATCATTATCAATGCAGTTCTAATCACTTACAAAAGTAGGAACCTAAAGCTATGTGCAAAAGGATCCAACAAACCCTAACATTGTGGGGCCAACAATGTTAAGAGTTGTTGCGTCCGTGTTGGCAGTAGTTAGGAAACGGATGCAACAACTCCAAACAATATTGGGACATGTAGTGCGTCGTGGAAAGAATACAACCCATAAGACTTTTTAAACACGTGTAATGAGCGTGAGTGGTCCCAACAATGTCTGAAGAGTTGTAGAAACGGATCCAACATTGTTGCACGACGCTTCGGAACAAAATGTTTGGAGTTGCTGGCTCAAAAGTTTGACGATTTCAAACTTGGCCCAACAACTCCCAAATCAGATAGGTACCGGTTCCGTTGTACGTCCCAGCAGAGTCGCAATGGATAATGTTAACACTGAAACGGTTATGGTAACTGTACCGGTATGGACAATAATTGACTTGTATTCTTGTAGGAGGTAAATAAGTGCCTATTTCAAATGTAAACGCCTGTTGTCTTGGTCGCCATACGAAGAGACGCTTATGGAAATAAAAGTCTTTCAAACATCTTTTTTTGAGTACCAGGGACTGGAAACACGTTAAAAATGATTCACACCAATCTTCCACTGTTATGTCGACCATCAACCAGGTGCCGTTTGTACCATTTTTAAGTTTAGTGCACCTTGCCTCTAGGCTAAGAAAGCGAAAATCTTCGTGTCCTGAACATGGTGAGCCTGCATAAAAGACAAAATTGAAAGTAAATCTTTACTAGATGAGGGGAGTATCTCGAGGCCCCCCGGAGATTATGGGGAGATTACTTCCTATCCTACAAGGATAAAAATGTGTCATTGTGGTCTATAAAAAGGTGCAGAATGGCTAACAATGCATTTTATAGTTGTGAAAAAGTCGAGAAAGCGTTATGGTTTTGTGATTTTTTTATATTTAAAAGACAGACTGAGTGCATTTACAGCAGTTAAAAGAGATTCAAAGTTCTAAACTAGGTATGAGAAAGGTTTACCATTTGTCAACAGAATGTATACGAAAGGGGTAACTTTTCTGTGAAAAAAGGTATACAAAAGGGTAATGGGTTGGACCCCGGGGGGGAGTCTCCCCGTTAAAAACTTTTTGGATTTCCCGTCTGCCCCTGGCTCGAGTCCTATTTCTCGATAAGCGAATCCTGGCCGAGGCGCCAATTACAATTTTATTTGAAACCTAGATATGAAAAATACAGATAGACAATGTACCAGATAACGTTTATATGGTGGTATGAGCTCCTGACTAGGGTGGAAGACTACAGAATGGTCTAGAAAATTTACGAGCTACGAATAATGGTGACGTCAACAATCACATTGCTGAGCACCATTTAAAGACGAAACATCAAATTGAC